TTTATTGTTGCTTAAATCTTCAATAATCAAACAAATACTTCAATGCTTTGAATCAACTAGTGGCTTGCTTAAATCTTGTTCACAAGGGACAGGCAACTTTCTTCATAAACTTCATAAATCCTTGACCCCTCCCTGGGCAATCTGACTTAAGCTCTGCTGGCGTGGGCCCCTACACCTGATCCAAATTGCTTTATGGCTGCCATGAGTGGTCCTTACCAAACAGAGTCCTTTAGTAGATTTCCAAGAGGAAAGAAGGCTTTCAATTCCCAGCGAAGGCTGGCTGCAAAGCCATGGAGCTGTATTTCTCCAGCAAAGAGCTGGCTGTAGAGTTGTGGGACTAAATTCCCCAACAAAGGATATACTGTAGTTCTCTGTAGAGCTGTGGGACTGGATCCCCCCCAGCAAAGCTGTAAAAGACGAAGCTTTCTACAGGTGGAACTGATTCACGTCCTGTACGAAAGGCTTCTCTGTGTGAACTGAACTAGAGTCGCCCTTTTCCCTCCTTAACCCAGAAAAAGGGGCAGAACTAAGGAACATAACGATAATTGATGGGTCCTTGGCCCTATTATTGCAAACCAAGGGAAGCCACCTTATTGCAAAATGCATGGAACTTTGGAATACATGCAAACACTCAATAGAAGGGGAAAGAAGTTGGAGCTCCTGGTACAGCCATACCATCACACATGGTGCCTTTCATGGGTTGCCATGTGTTTTCTGGGCTGTATGGCCAAGGTCCAGCTGCATTCTCTCCTGAGCTGTTGCAAAAACCCTTTGTTCTCATCTTACTCCCTTCTCTGATGTTGCCTGAATCAAGCTTTTGTTTTACAGTAATTAACAAGCAATTTAACAATTCCACTTAGCGATCCAATTAACAGTGTTTATTCTTAGCCTTTGCCTCTTGGTTTCTGTAGAACCGCATGTGGCGCAAGACGAGGTCCCTCAACGCCGGATCTTCCTGTGTCGGAACGGATCCCAACCGCAACTGGGATGCAGGTTTCGGAGGGAAGTATATTGTCCTTTGTATAATGCAGCTGGCCTTACTGACCAGGGGATGATGGGGATTGTCATCCAACACAACCAAAAGGCAGTACAGTGTTCCCTCGCTACTTCGCGGTTCGCTTTACACAAACTCGCCGTTTTGCGGATTAAAAAAAAAATTAAAATATTTACATTACAACGGGTCTCAGAAATGGAGACTGGTGTGCGCCGCCTTGCGTCCTGTTGCCTCGGGCTGCGAGCAGGCGTGCTTTGTCCATCTCCTCGTTCCGGGCAGGGATGCAGCCCATTGGAAGCCCTGACATCGCCCCCAACAACATCCAATAATGTATAAATATTGCAATTAATATAGCATCCCTACTTCTCGGATTTTCACTTATTGCGGGTGGTCCTGGAACATAACCCCCGCGATAAGTGCAGGAACACTGTAGTTAAGGCAGTGCTCATTGGAGGGCAGGAGACTAGAGACAAAGTTGAAGTCCTTTGGCCACATCATGAGGAGACAGCAAAGCCTAGAGAAGGGAATGATGCTGGGGAAAGTGGAAGGAAAAAGGAAGAGGGGCCGACCAAGGGCAAGATGGATGGATGGCATCCTTGAAGTGACTGGACTGACCTTGAAGGAGCTGGGGGTGGTGACGGCCGACAGGGAGCTCTGGCGTGGGCTGGTCCATGAGGTCACGAAGAGTCGGAGACGACTGAACGAATGAACAACAACAATAACAATAGATACATGTGCAACATTACGGATAGCTTGTTATGATGAGCATGTGCTTAAACAACTTAAACATCTCCAATGTCCACTCTGGGTTTTGGACCTAACTTTAAAGTAGTTGTCTAAGGTGCTGACTTACTTATTTACTTAGACGATCCCTCATTGTCCGAGTAAGACAACAAGGGATCGCCTAAGTAAGTAAGCCAATCCCTCCACAGGCACTTACGTACACCAAGGTCAGTGTCCTGGGGGTGGGTCCGTAGGTGACTGTGGAGCCCTATTCTTGACCTGCATCTTCTCCCGCAGTGAGGGCATTGGTTTCCTGGCGGAAGGCGGTCCTGGTCGGGTTGGTTTGACACGCCTTCCTCTTGGCACGTTTCTCTCTTTCACCCTCCATTCGTGCCTCTTCAAATTCTACAGCACTGCTGGTCACAGCTGACCTCCAATTGGAGTGCTCAAGGGCCAGGGCTTCCCAGTTCTCAGTGTCTATGCCAGAGTTTTTAAGGTTGGCCTTTGAGCCCATCTTTCAATCTCTTTTCCTGCCCTCCAACATTCCATTTTCCGTTCTTGAATTCGGAGTAGAGCAACTGCTTTGGGAGATGGTGACAACATGGCCAGTGGAGTTGATGGCGGAGGACCATCGCTTCAGTGCTGGTGGTCTTTGCTTCTTCCAGTACGCTGACATTTGTCCATCTGTCTCCAAGAGATTTGCAGGATTTTCCGGAGGCAGTGATGATGGAATCGTTCCAGGAGTTGCATGTGATGTCTGTAGACAGTCCACGTCTCGCAGGCATATAGCAGGGTTGGGAGGACAATAGCTTTATAAACAAGCACCTTGGTCTCCCAACAGATGTCCCGGTCCTCAAACACTTTCTGCTTCATTCGGGAAAATGCTGCACTCGCAGAGCTCAGGAGGTGTTGCATTTCGGTGTCGATGTTGACTTTGATGGAGAGGTGGCTGCCAAGGGAGCGGAAATGGTCAACATGCGCCTTGGTATCCCTTCGGAAGAATGCTGCACTTGCAGAGCTCAGGCAGTGTTGAATTTCAGTGTCAATGTTGACTTTAGTGGAGAGATGGCTACCAAGGTAGCGAAAATGGCCAACATTTTCTAATGTGACACCATTAAGCTGTATTTCTGGCATTGGAGGGGGATTGGCTGGTGACTGCTGGAAGAGCACTTTGGTTTTCTCAATGTTCAGTGACAGGCTGAGCTTCTTGTATGCTTCTGCGAAGGTGTTTAGAGTGGCTTGTAGGTCTTCTTCTGAATGCGCACAGACAATGTTGTCATCAGCATACTGGAGTTCTATAACAGATATTAAGATGCTGAACCCTATCCTCAAAGTATATACTGTACGTTGGAGATTTATTGACTTTTGGTCCACCAAATGTTCTCCTGCAGGCCCCGGATCGAGCAGCAACCCCTGTTCCGAAACGTACCATGGGGCCTTCCCCCATTCGGAGAGCGAAGTGAAATCCATTGTGGACTTCATCCTCAGCCACGGGAAGGTGAAATCTGTCATCTCCATCCACAGCTATTCCCAGATGCTGATGTTTCCCTATGGCTATAAGACGGAGCCCGCCGCTGACCACGAGGAACTGGTAAGAACAGAGTTCGAAAAATGTGTTTGATCCGTAAAGGGAGAGTTGCTGTAGTTGGAATGCAAAGAGACAGAACGGGGGATGATGCCTGGCTCGAGAGCAGTACGTGTGAAAAAGATCTTGGGATATTTCTATGGGCTAAAGTGATGTAGTGATGATGTTAACATATGTAGAAGCATGTTTCTTTGTTTGCCTGCATTTGAAGATGTATAAAAGGGAAACTCAACCCTTTATCGGGGCTCTGGTTGGCTTTTGGATGAGATTCCACACCAGGGTTTCAGCTGAGAATAAAACGTACTTTTCTGCCTCCCAGAAAGGATCACTGTGCTGTCACATGCTGGGCCTGTAGCAATTGTCTGTTAACAGGACGTGATCTTTATGTGCCCAGCGGGACGCCGGGGTGCCTCGGCTGAGAGGCCCTATGAATTTCCCTATACAAAGTCTTTAGAAGCTTGGAAAGTTTAACAAAGTTCTTTATTGGTGCAACAAATCAGTCAAATACTTCTTAGATCTTCAATAAATCAACCAAATATTCTTAACTTGTCCACAATGGACAGGCAACTTTCTTCATAAACTGTTTCTTCCTTCTACATTTTAATTCTTCCTTCTTCATAAACTGTTTCTTCCTTCATAAATTATTTCTTCCTTCTACATTTTAATTATTATTATTACATTTATTATTTTACTTTATTGTTGTTGTTATTACATTTTATTATTTTACTTTCTTTATTATTATTGAAAGGATACGTAAGGGAAATCCTTTTGACCCCTCCCTGGGCAATCTGTCTTTTAGGCTTAGCTGGCGTGGGACCCTACTCCCGGTTCCAATTTGCTTTATGGGTACCTGAGTAGACCTTACCGGCTAAAACTCTGAAGATTTTCCAGCTGGAGTCCTTTGGATTTTTTCCACGAATGCTGTGGATCTGTTTCTTTAACCCCAACAAGGGCTGTGCTGTATTTCTTAGTAAAGCTGTGAGAATTGTCTTCCCCAGCCAAGCTTGTAAGAAACGAAGCTTTTCTACAGGAGGGAAAAACTCACACGTCCTGTAGTTGGGCTTCAAACTGTAAGACTGAACAAACTGTCTCCTTTTCCCTCCTGAACCTGGGGAAAAGGGCGGTTCCAAAAGCCCCAACGATGATAGGCAGGCTGCTAGCCTATGACTGCAGCCTGGAGGAAGCTGCTTAACTGCAAAATGCCTGGCTAACAGAAACACATGCAAACTAACCATGCATAGAAAAAGAAAATTTAGCTTCTGGCACCACTGTGCCAGCACAATCGCTCTTGGTATTATCTCTCCTATGAGCCATAACAGGGAAGTCATATGGAGGAGGGAGTAAGCTTCTTTCTGCTGCCCTGGAGACTAGGACATGGAGCAATGGCTTCAAACTACAGAAAGGAGATTCCACCTGAACATTAGGAAGAACTTCCTGACTGTGAGAGCTGTTCAGCAGTGGAACTCTCTGCCCAGGAGTGTGGTGGAGGCTCCTTCTTTGGAGGCTTTTAAACAGAGGCTGGATGGCCATCTGTCAGGGGTGCTTTGAATGCAATTCCTGCTTCTTGGCAGAAAGGGGTTGGACTGGATGGCCCATGAGGTCTCTTCCAACTCTAGGATTCTATGATTCTCAGAAAGCTATTGAAAACAATATAACTTCCAAACATTAACCCTGCACTTTTTCTCTTTGACCATATAGGATGACCTTGCCAGAGAGGCTGTGACAGCCTTAGAGGAAGTCTATGGCACGAAATACACGTTCGGGAGTACGATTGACACCATCTGTAAGTAGTTGTTGCTTTGTACCCATGGCTGAAATCAACACAAGGTCAGCGTGTTTTTCACCCAACACTGCAGACACCTTTATATCTTCACAGAGCAGGGCAAAACACTGTTGTGATTGGGTTGTTGTAGGTTTTTTCGGGCTATATGGTCATGTTCTAGAGGCATTCTCTCCTGACATTTCGCCTGCTTCTATGGCAAGCATCCTCAGAAGTTGTGAGGTCTGTTGTGAAGTTTATATACCAGAAGCATTCTCTTTGCCTGAACTGCCTTGTCTCCCTCCCTTGCTGAGTTAATGGAGTGCCACATGACTTTTGAACTCAGTTTGCAGCAATTGAAGTAAGCTGAGGACAAAGAGAGAAACCAGGACAATTTGAAAACAGCAGAGAATCAATAGGGCTGTCTATGTAAAATAAGGACAGTTGGTGGGTATAGAATCTAGAATCATAGAATCATAGCGTTGGAAGAGACTTTGTGGGACATCTAGTTCTGAAATGACAGGGAGAAGGTTTGAGGAAAAGAGACAAAAGAGAGTTCCTGAGGTCTGTAAAAGCACGGTTTATTCTCGGTTGGCGCCAACCGGATATGGATCCTGCTGGTATTCCAAAAAACAGAGTGCTGAACAAAAGAATTGTCTTGGCTTATATACCCTTTAAAATAATATGTATGCAACATACAAGCATCACAGTGTGCGTCACAAAATTCCACAAAATTCCACTTCAATAGCATATTTTAACTTCAACACCTTTAATCTTCCATTAAGCACCTTTATCTAAAGAGCTGCTTATTAGTGGACCATAGCGCCAGAGTGTCTGCTTCCGGCTACTGATAGCAAGAGCTTCCATCCATCTTAAGATAAGTCCCTCCTGAAGAAGCCTCTTGATTAATCTTACAATAAGCCCTGCTTGGTAGAGGTCTTGATATTTACCAGATGACTTAGACATTCCTTTCCTTAGACCTCTTTCTGGCATCTAATTTGCAGTTTTTAGGAAGAGCATCTCTTCCCAAGTGAATGTTCATGCATACGTACATATCCCTTCGTGATTTCATATATATTTTCTAATTCCTATTTGTAATATGGTTAAATCCAATATATAATTTTCAATATGTGTATTATATATTTTCATCATGCTTTCATCAAATCCCCCCTTGCCATTCCGGAAAAACATAATCAGAGCATTCCTGACAGATGATCATCCAGCCTCTGTTTAAAAGTTTCCAAGGAAGGAGCTTCCACCACTCTCCTAAATAACATTTACGTGATTTTTTAAAGCACCTATTTCAGACCAATTTATGTAATCCTAGGTGCATCTATATCGTAGAATTAATGTGGTTGCCATGGCTCAATCCTATGGAATCCTGGGAATTGTAGGCTTCCAAAGTCTTCTCCGCCAAAGAGTATTGGTGCCTCACCAAACTACAAATCCCAGGATTCCAGAAGTGCACTCATTAGAATTTCCTTCTGTGTTTCTTTCACTCTGCAGACCAAGCCGACGGGACAACCATCGACTGGAGTTACGACAACGGGGTCAAATATTCCTACACTTTTGAGCTCCGAGACACAGGGCGATATGGCTTCATTTTGCCCGCGGACCAGATCATCCCGACCGCAGAAGAAACCTGGGTAGCGCTCAAGAAGATCCTGGAACATGTCCATAGCCACCCTTATTAAAACCCAGAGCAGGGTCCAGCAAAGTCCAACCCCCTTCGGTCGTGCAGGAATCCACAACTAAAGCACTCCTGAAAGATAACCATCCCCTGTGATAGAATACTTTTGTGATAAGGAACCGGGGTTTTAATTTAGTGGCATAAATCGCAAGTGGGAAATAAAAATATACATAATGATTGCTGTCTTTTGGGTGTGCCTTTTTCTCTATGTGATGAGGTGGTTTGAGTGTTGGACAAGATCTCTGGAGACCTGGGTTCAAGTTTCTTCTTGGTCATAGAAACCCAAGAGATATATTTGGACAAATCACACTCACCTCTGAACAAACCTTGCAAAGAAAACCCTGTGATCAGTTCAGCTTAGGTTTACCATTAAGTCCTGGGGTCTGTAGTTTGGTAAAACACCAAAACTCATAGTGACAACTTGTAAAGCTACAACTCTCAGAACGCCATACAATTGAGACATTGTTGACACAAGCTGCCATGTCCCTCTATTACCAAGTAACCCGGGGTTGTTGTTCAATCAGAATCTGAAGGCAAGGCAATCGTTCAACAGGTTTATTTGATCAAACCGCCCTGCTGGGTGAACAAAGTGCCCCACACAAATCAGGCAAAATGTGATAGGTTCAGATTCAAAGTGAAGTTCATGTTTTGCCCTATTTATTTACTTACTTAGGCGATCCCTCGTTGGCTGAGTAGGATAGTCTTCCAGGGACAGTATTCTTGTGAGTCTGTAGGTGGCTGTGGAGCCCTATTCTTGATCTGCATCTTCTTCTGCAGTGAGGGCATCGGTTTCCAGGTGGAAGGCGGTCTCGGTCGGGGTTGGCTTGACACGCCTTCCTCTTGGCACGTTTCTCTCTTTCAACCTCCATTCGTGCCCCTTCAAATTCTGCAGCACTGCTGGTCACAGCTGACCTCTAGCTGGAGCGCTCAAGGGCCAGGGCTTCCCAGTTCTCATTGTCTATGCCAAAGTTTTTAAGGTTGGCCTTTTGCCCTATTATGTAGCTACGTCTATTCTACCTATTTGGGTCTTTGTCGGCACAATAGCCATAGCATGCAGAATCTCTCATAGCAGCAAATGGAGCCTAAACTAGGGAAACAGCATGATAGCCAATAAAGCCACAGTTCTGCCAGACAGAATCATGTGTTAGGGGTTGTTTAGAGGTTGTATGTATACCCAAATTCAGGTAGAATCATAGTTGGAAGAGACCCACCGGGCTATCCAGTCCCACTCCTTTCTGCCAGACAGGGAGGCACAACCCAAGCCCTCTCAACAGATGGCCATCTGTTTTTCTATTTTAAATTTCTATTTTAAAACCTCCAGAGAGGAAGTGTCTCTCTCACCCGAGTATCCCAATGACTGAGAGCCTCTCTGCTAGAGATTTCCTTTCCTTGGTTCAAGGAAGATGTTGTTGTTGTTCATTTGTTCAGTCGTCTCCGACTCTTCGTGACCTCATGGACCAGCCCACGCCAGAGCTCCCTGTCGGCCGTCACCACCCCCAGCTCCTTCAAGGTCAGTCCAGTCACTTCAAGGATGCCATCCATCCATCTTGCCCTTGGTCGGCCCCTCTTCCTTTTGCCTTCCACTTTCCCCAGCATCATTCCCTTCTCTAGGCTTTGCTGTCTCCTCATGATGTGGCCAAGGAAGATATCTACCGCAAAATAGTCACAGATTTGTGGCAGAAAATGGGGGTCATTAACACCATGTAACACGATTTTTGTATCATAAAAACATGGGAAAAGTTTATTAAACTGCAAAAAAATTGTTGTTGCAGGAGGGACATCCTGCTATAGTTTTTCAATTAAAATCTCATAGAGTCTTATATAATTCAACCTACATTATGGCAGCCACAAAAATGATGTTTCTGGAGCAGAACAATGACTTTCAAAGTAAGGACTGCACAATTAAACAGGAAATAATATTTTCAAACCAGGAACAGAAAAAAAAATCAGATTTTGTTTCATAGAGTTATTTCTAGTGTGAAACAGGACAGCAATAACATTGCCTCACAGCTCCAGGGATTCCTAGATGACACCGATTATTTGGATTGATGACAATCTGGTTTCAGGCCTGGTCACAGTACAGAGATGGCTTTGGTCGCCTTGGTGGCTGACCTCCGCAGGGAACTGGACAGGGGAAGTGCGACCCTGCTGGTTCTCTTGGACATCCCAGAAGCTTTTGATACCATCAACCATGGTATCCTTCTGGGACGGCTCTCCGGGATGGACTTGGGGGCACAGTTTTATTGTGGCTCCGATTTTTCTGGAGGATCATTCCCCGTTGGTGAAGCTGGGGGACACCTGCTGGGACCCATGGCCCTTGACCTGTGGGATCCTGCAAGGTTCCATTCTGTCTCCCATGCTTTTCAACATCTACATGAAACCGCTGGGAGAGGTCATCTGGAGTTTTGGAGTTGGGTACCATCTCTATGTAGATGACGCCCAACTCCACTATTCCACCGGAATCCAAGGAAGCCCCACGGGTTCTGGACCAGTGCCTGGCTGCTGTGATGATCTGGATGAGGGTGAACAAGCTGAAGATCAATCCTGACAAGATAGAGGTCCTCCAGGTCAGTTGTACGTCTGACCGGCATATAGGGTGGCAACCTGTGCTTGACGGGGTTGCACTCCCCCTGAAGACACAGGTCTGCAGCTTGGAGGTCCTCCTGGACTCAGTGCTGACGCTTGATGCACAGGTGTCAGCGGTGGCCGAGAGGGCCTTCATAAAATCATAGAATCATAGAGTTGGAAGAGACCTTGTGGGCCATCCAGTCCAACTCCCTACCAAGAAGCAGGACTATCGTGTTCAAAGCACCCCCGATAGATGGCCATCCAGCCTCTGTTTAAAACAGTGGTTCTCAGCCTGTGGTCCCCAGATGTTTTTGTCCCTCAACCCCCAGAAATCCTAACAGCTGGTAAACTGGCTGGGATTTCTGGGAATTGTAGGCCAAAACCATCTGGGGACTCCAGGTTGAGAAGCACTGATTTAAAAGCTTCCAAAGAAGGAGCCTCCACCACACTCCGGGGCAGAGAGTTCCACTGCTGAACGGCTCTCACAGTCAGGAAGTTCTTCCTCATGTTCAGATGGAATCTCCTTTCTTGTAGTTTTGATGAAGGCTTGATGAAAATACATAATACACATATTGGAAAATATATTTGATGTAACCATATTAGAAATAGGAGTTAGAAAATATATAAGAGAAATGTATGTATGCATGGCCATTTCACTTGACTTCTTAAAAGCTGCAAAATTAGAAACGCCAGCATCTAGGAAAGGAATGTCTTGAGGTCTGGCATTTCAAGAGGTCGATAAGGTGCGGTACCAGGCACCTTATCATAGGCTTGACTAATGAAGTGTCCATTAAGAGGTTTCAGGAAGACCTTATCTTAGGATGGATGAAGACACTCTATCAGGTCCGGTAGACATTCTGGCGCTGGTGTTCATTAATAGCCATTCTTTAGATAGAACACTAATGAAGATTGACAAGGTGTTGAGTTTGAAAATATGCTATTGAAGTCAATGTAAAAGTAGAATTTTGTGATGCACATTGTGATGTCTATATGATGCATGAATAATTATTTCAAAGGTATATAAACCAAGCATTTCCTTTGTTCTGTACCCTTCTTTCCTGGCTTACCAGGAGGGTCCATATCCGGTTGGCGCCAACCGAGAATAAAGGCTGTGCTTTTCAGTTCTCAGGATCTCTCTTTAGTCTCTTTTCCTCAAACCTTCTCCCTGCCATTTCAGTTTGAAGCCATTGCTCCATTGCATCCTAGTCTCCAGGGCAGCAGAAAACAAGTTCGCTCCCTCCTCCCTGTGGCTTCCTCTCATGTATTTATACATGGCTATCATGTCTCTGCTCAGTCTTCTATTCTGCAGGCTAAACATGCCCAGCTCTTTAAGCCACTCATTTCGCACAATTAAAACTCATGCGCCAGCTGCAACCATACCTCATGAAGTCTGACTTGGCCACAGTGGTCCACACCTTAGTTACCTCTAGACTCTATGTAGGGCTTCCCTTGAAGACGGACCAGAAACTTCAATTGGTTCAACATTCGGCAGCCAGACTACGAACTGGGGCAAATTACAGGAAGCGATCAACCTCCCTGTTTAATGAGCTTCATTGGCTGCTGTTCATTTTCCGCTCCCAATTCAAGGTACAGGTTATCCCCTATAAAGCCCTAAACAGTTTGAGACCCGCCTACCTTTGCAACCGCATCTCCTACCATAAACCTGCACGATCTCTTTGATCTTCTGGAGAGGCCCTCCTGTCGCCCCTTCCCCTATCACAGGCATGGCTAGTGGGTATGAGGGAGAACGCCTTCTCCGCTGTGGCCCCCTGACTTTGGAGCTCACTACCAGGGGAAATTAGGCAAGCCCCCACCCTAGCAACTTTTAAAAAAGAACTAAAAACTTGGCTTTTCCGATGTACCTTCGGAGAGTGACCACCCAACCCATTTTTTTGTAAGTTTCCACCTACAGTTTGTTTACACGATGCATTTTTCCTACTCCTAATGACACCCAAGCCCCCAATGCTCCCCCGTTTCGGGCTCCTTTGCTATAAATACACTTTTTCTACTTCCTTTCTCACCCAGGGTTTTTACCATTTTTAGCATTTTATCTTGCACGTTTGGCCCACCCTTTGTGACTGTCTTTATTATGTCATTTTGCATTGTTTATTTTATTTTGTTGTATTATGTATTTGCTGTTAAGCAGAAAAAATGAAACGCAAAGATACAGAATGGGTGACGATGATACCTGGCTCGAGAGCAGTACGTGTGAAAAAGATCTTGGAGTCCTCGTGGACAACAAGTTAAACATGAGCCAACAATGTGATGTGGCGGCAAAAAAAGCCAATGGGATTTTGGCCTGCATCAATAGGAGCATAGTGTCTAGATCTAGGGAAGCATGCTACCCCTCTATTTCGCTTTGGTTAGACCACACCTGGAATATTGTGTCCAATTCTGGGCACCACAATTCAAGAGAGATATTGACAAGCTGGAATGTGTCCAGAGGAGGGCGACTAAAATGATCAAGGGTCTGGAGAACAAGCCCTATGAGGAGCGGCTTAAGGAGCTGGGCATGTTTAGCCTGAAGAAGAGAAGGCTGAGAGGAGATATGATAGCCATGTATAAATATGTGAGAGGAAGCCACAGGGAGGAGGGAGCAAGCTTGTTTTCTGCTTCCCTGGAGACTAGGACGCAAATGGAACAATGGCTTCAAACTACAAGAGAGGAGATTCCATCTGAACATGAGGAAGACTTCCTGACTGTGAGAGCCGTTCAGCAGTGGAACTCTCTGCCCCGGAGTGTGGTGGAGGCTCCTTCTTTGGAAGCTTTTAAACAGAGGCTGGATGGCCATCTGTCAGGGGTGATTTGAATGCAATAATGCTGCTTCTTGGCAGGGGGTTGGACTGGATGGCCCATGAGGTCTCTTCCAACTCTTTGATTCTATGATTCTATGATTTTGTTTAATTATGTTTGGGTTCGGCCTCATGTTAGCCGCCCCAAGTCCCCATTGGGGAGAAGGTGGCAGGGTATAAATAAAGTTTATTATTATATTATTATTTCCTAACACACATTTTAGGAAACGGCTTGGCCTCATCTCTTCTTCTTTTGCCACCTCCCTTAACTGTGGTTGCCATTGACCTCATACTTGAGGTCTTTGGTCCCAAGAAACAGGCGGCCTTGGCCCATTAATTATTAATTGTGTTACATGGTGGAAAATTCTTTCTGCAATGCCATCAGATTGAAGACATTTCTGCTCCATTAAGGTATGGCCCCATTTCTACAGAACTGGTAGCCATGGATCTATGTTTAACAAAACATGCCCTCTCTCGGCATTTTTTAAGATCCTCAAATGCAACCCTACAGGATTCTGGGCAAGAAATCCTTCATTTCAAAGGAGTTCTCTGTTACCTATAGTTTTCCATAGCCATGCAAAGTCTAGGAACATACGAGGGTTGAATGAAAAGTAATGCCTCCACTGTCGTTACTTGGGTTTGGATGGGAATATTTTAATAAATCAAACGCAGAAATAATCCTTAGAATGTATTGTCGAAGGCTTTCATGGCTGGAATCACTAGGTTCTTGTGGGTTTTTTTCGGGCTATAGGGCCATGTTCTAGAGGCATTTCTCCTGACGTTTCGCCTGCATCTATGGCAAGCATCCTCAGAGGTAGTGAGGTCTGTTGGAATTAGGACAATGGGTTATATATCTGTGGAATGGCTGGGGTGGGGCAAAGAGCTCTTCTGCTGGAGCTAGGTGTGAATGTTTCAGCTGACCACCTTCATTAGCATTTGAAGGCCTGGCTGAGCCTGGAAAATGTTCTGTTGAGAGGTGTTAAGATGTGCCTGGTTGTTTCCTCTCTGCTGTTTGCTAATGTTAGAGTTTTTTAATACTGGTAGCCAGATTTTGTTCATTTTCATGGTCTCCTCCTTTCTGTTGAAATTGTCCACATGCTTGTGGATTTCAATGGCTTCTCTGTGTAGTCTGACATGGTGGTTGTTGGAGTGGTCCAGCATTTCTGTGTTCTCAAATAATATGCTGTGTCCAGGCTGGTTCATCAGGTGCTCTGCTATGGCTGACTTCTCTGGTTGAAGTAGTCTGCAGTGCCTTTCATGTTCCTTGATGAGTGTCTGGGCGCTGCGTTTGGTGGTCCCTATGTAGACTTGTCCACAGCTGCATGGTATACGGTAGACTCCTGCAGAGGTGAGAGGATCCCTCTTGTCCTTTGCTGAACGTAGCATTTGTTGGATTTTCTTGGTGGGTTTGTAGATTGTTTGTATGTTGTATTTCCTCATCAGCTTCCCTATGCGATCAGTGGTTCCCTTGATGTATGGCAGGAACACTTTTCCTCTGGGAACTTCTACATGGAACACTTTGTAAAACAAGCCCTGGAGACAGCAACCAAAAAGCCTACGATATGGTTCAGATATGTGGATGACACCTTCACCATTTGGAGCCATGGAGAGATACTCCACTTTGGCAGGAAAAATGAAATGCAAAGATACAGAATGGGGGGTCCCTGGCTTGAGAGCAGTACGTGTGAAAAAGATCTTGGAGTCCTCGTGGACAACAAGTTAAACATGAGCCAACAATGTGATGTGGCGGCAAAAAAAGCCAATGGGATTTTGGCCTGCATCAATAGGAGCATAGTGTCTAGATCTAAGGAAGTAATGATACCCCTCTATTCTGCTTTGGTTAGACCACATCTGGAATATTGTGTCCAATTCTGGGCACCACAATTCAAGAGAGATATTGACAAGCTGGAATGTGTCCAGAGGAGGGCGACTAAAATGATCAAGGGTCTGGAGAACAAGCCCTATGAGGAGCGGCTTAAGGAGCTGGGCATGTTTAGCCTGAAGAAGACAAGGCTGAGAGGAGATATGACAGCCATGTATAAATATGTGAGAGGAAGCCACAGGGAGGAGGGAGCAAGCTTGTTTTCTGCTTCCTTGGAGACTAGGACGCGGAACAATGGCTTCAAACTACAAGAGAGGAGATTCCATCTGAACATGAGGAAGAACTTCCTGACTGTGAGAGAGCCTGTTCAGCAGTGGAACTCTCTGCCCCGGAGTGTGGTGGAGGCTCCTTCTTTGGAAGCTTTTAATCAGAGGCTGGATGGCCATCTGTCAGGGGTGATTTGAATGCAATATTCCTGCTTCTTGACTTTTTTACGAAATATTAAGAGGGTGGGGGCCGATCTAATGTCCCTAGGGAGGGCGTTCCACAGCCGAGGGGCCACCATTGAGAAGGCCCCATCTCTCGTCCCCGCCAAACGAACCTATGAAGAAGGCGGGAGAGAGAGCAGGGCCTCCCCAGAAGATCTTAAATTCCTAGATGGTTCATAAAGAGAGATACGTTCAGACAGATAAGCAGGGCCAGAACCGTATAGGGCTTTATAGGCTAAAGACAGCACTTTGAATTGTGCCTGGTAGCAGACTGGCAGCCAGTGGAGCTGGCGCAACAAAGGAGTTGTATGCTCCCTGAGTGCCGCTCCTGTTAGTATCCTGGCTGTCGAAACTTCACACTTTAACAACACAACCTTTCAATGCTACGGCTTCCCGCCAAAATGGAACTGTAGGGGAGAGTCTACTGAACAAGCCAGTACCTGCCACATACCAGTACTGCCATCTGTTGAGTTATGAAGGTGGAGGCATTACTTTTCATTCAACCCTCGTATCCTCTGCCAATAACAGATCCATGCTGTATATGTCTTGTTATTATCTACACCGGGCATGCTCAAACTTCAGCCCTCTTGGGTGTTTTGGACTTCAACTCCCACAGTTCCTAACAGCCGGTAGACTGTTAGGAACTGTGGGAGTCGAAGTCCAAAACACTTGGAGGTCCCAAGTTTGCACAGACCTGAACTATACTATTGAATGTAGTTTGACACCACATGACTCAATGCTGTGGAATACTGGGAGTTGTGGTTGTGCAAGGTCCTTAGGCTTTTCTGCCAAAGAGGGCAGAGATGCTTGCAACCAAAATAGTATAGGTGTAGGTTTCCAAATGGATACCGGATGGTCATCTGTTGGAGGGCTTTGTGTCGTCCTACCTGGCAGAAAGGGGTTGGACTGGATGATTCCAAAAGTGTAGATAGAAGGGAACTCATGCACCTGTGGTGCATCTATAATAAGCACCTTTGCTTATGGCTGCCTTCACCTTGAGGCAGGTGTCCTGTTTCCTATACATTAATCACAAAGTCAAACGCAAGAAGTGCCAACCTTTTTCCGTCGGAGATGTGGGAAGGACAGCGGCTGGCAAAGCTTCTCCGCTGCCCAGTTATGATACACGGCATGTCTATACGGGGTATATAAGGCCACCAGAAGAGGACCCCGATCCCTAGTTAGCCTTCTGAGTTGGAGAAGATGAAGGGCCTCTTGGTGTTGGCGAGTCTCCTGGCGGTTGCGTTCAGCACCGAGATCTTTGAGGGGTACGTAGCAGGGAAACATGGGCTTTGCATAAGGAACATCGCCATCCTTTTCTACTTTCTGGATGGAATCCCACTGGGGTTTGATATCTGCTAATGATCTTCTAGAAAGGCAACAGCATTTTGGTCCAATGCGCAGTACTTTCGGTCCAAATTAAACAGAAGCATTGTCACAATTGTGGCATTATGGTGCATGTCATCAATGTGTATCCATTATGGTGCATGTTACCAATGTGTATCCATTGTGGTGCATGTCGCCAATGTGTATCCATTGTGGTGCATGTCACCAATGTGTATCCATTGTGGTGCATGTTACCAATGTGTATCCATTATGGTGCATGTCACCAATGTGTATCCATTGTGGTGCATGTTACCAATGTGTATCCATTGTGGTGCATGTTGCCAATGTGTATCCATTGTGGTGCATGTCACCAATGTGTATCCATCGTGGTCCATGTCACCAATGTGTATCCAGTGTGGTGCATGTTACCAATGTGTATCCATTGTGGTGCATGTTACCAATGTGTATCCATTGTGGTGCATGTCACCAATGTGTAGCCATTATGGTGCATGTCACCAATGTGTATCCATTATGGTGCATGTCACCAATGTGTATCCATTATGGTGCATGTTACCAATGTGTATCCATGATGGTGTATGTCACCAATGTGTATCCATGATGGTGCATGTTACCAATGTGTATCCATCTGCTGTATAGGAATGGGTTGTGGCATAGCTGGTTGGGAGTCAGCCGCATTAAAATCACTACTGGCCAAAAGGTCATGCGTTAGAAGCCAGCCCAGGTCGGAGTAAGCTCCCGACCATTTGTCCAGCTTACTGTCGACCTTTGCAGCCTGAAAGACAGTTGCATCTGTCAATATCATATTTAGTAAAGTAGGAAATGTAAAAAAAGAAAAAATCGAAGGAAAGATAGATAGATAGATAGATAGATAGATAGATAGATAGATAGATAGATAGATAGATCATAGAATCAAAGAATTGGAAGAGACCTCATGGGCCATCCAGTCCAACCCCATTCTGCCAAGAAGCAGGAATATTGCATTCAAATCACCCCTGACAGATGGTCATCCAGCCTCTGTTTAAAAGCTTCCAAAGAAGGAGCCTCCACCACACTCCGGGGCAGAGAGTTCCACTGCTGAACGGCTCTCACAGTCAGGAAGTTCTTCCTCATGTTAAGCTACCAGTATTAAAAAACTCTAAAATTACAACAGCACAACAACAGAGAGGAAACAAACAAGGACATCTAATCACCTCTCAACAAAAGATTGCCCCAGGCACTGCCAGGCCATTATATGCTAATCAAGGTGGTCAGGTGAAACATTCACACCTAGCTCCAGCAGACAAGAGTCCTTTGTCCCACCCTGGTCATTCCACAGATATATAAACCTTTCCCAGTTCCAACAGACCTCACTACCTCTGAGGATGCTTGCCATAGATGCAGGCGAAACGTCAGGAGAGAATGCCTCTAAAACATGGCCATATAGCCCGAAAAAACCTACAACAACCCAACCAATACATGGATTGGGAGTGAGCAGAATCAAGTATGTGTCCCAATCAAGAAATTGTGCCTATTAAAACTAAGCGACTACTTGCAACTCCAGATACAAAAATAACAACAGTTCAATTAGTTAAGATGATGATGACGGCAGAAATCAACATGACCTCTCTCTGTAGTCACCAGGTGTTGAGGATCTTTGCTTCCGATGGGTTCCAGCTGGAGAAGGTGAAGGAGCTGGAAGCACTTGAACATCTTCAGGTAACTTTGAGGAATGGAAATGGTACTTTAAGGCCTCCAGATGTTTTGGACTTCAACTCCCATAATTCCTAACAGACCGGCTGTTAGGAATTGTGGGAGCTGAAGTCCAAAAAACCTAGAGGGCTGAAGTTTCCCCAATGTTTGATCGATATCTAGCTCTATCTACCTGCATTTCTCTTTCTAGCTGGACTTCTGGCGCGCTCCCGCTCACCCTGAGATCCCAGTTGACGTGAGGGTCCCATTCTCCAGCCTCCAAGGGGTCAAGGTCTTTCTGGAGTCCAACAACATCCAATACTCCATCATGATCGAGAACGTTCAGGTCAGTCCTTTCTCTTGGTGGGCACGGAACATGGTTGGGTAGCCTAGAAAACCAGCCTTGGGAATAAAACATTGCTTCATATACCAGATGGAAACAAGGCAATGTAGAGCAGGAAGTTACTAGCCCTATATATTTACACAAAGCATAAGCCGTAAGGAGAGACAGGTAATAAATAATGCATTGTTGTTGTTAATATTATTATTAGAATACCGTATATTCCGGCATATAAGACGACTGGGCGTATAAGATGACCCACAATTTGGCACGTTTCTCTCTCTTTCACCCTCCATTCGTGCCTCTTCAAATTCTGCAGCACTGCTGGTCACAGCTGACCTCCAGCTGGTGCGCTCAAGGGCCAGGGCTTCCCAGTTCTCAGTGTCTATGCCAGAGTTTTTAAGGTTGGCATTGAGCCCATCTTTCAATCTCTTTTCCTGCCCACCAACGTTTCGTTTTCCGTTCCTGAGTTCGGAGTAGAGCAATTGCTTTGGGAGACGGTGGTCGGGCATCCGGGCAACGTGGCCAGTCCAGCGGAGTTGAGGTCCTTGTGGACAACAAGTTAAACATGAGCCAACAATGTGATGTGGTGGCAAAAAAAGCCAATGGGATGTTGGCCTGCATCAATGGGAGCATAGTGTCTAGATCTAGGGAAGTCATGCTCCCCATGCTCTATTCTGCCTTGGTTAGACCACACCTGGAATATTGTGACCAATTCTGGGCGCCACAATTCAAGAAAGATATTGACAAGCTGGAATGTGTCCAGAGGAGGGCGACTAAAATGATCAAGGGTCTGGAGAACAAGCCCTATGAGGAGCGGCTTAAAGAGCTGGGCATGTTTAGCCTGAAGAAGAGAAGGATGAGAAGAGACATGATGAAGGCCATGTATAAATATGTGAGAGGAAGCCACAGGGAGGAGGGAGCAAGTTTGCTTTCTGGAGACTAGGATGCAATGGAACAATGGCTTCAGACTACAAGAAAGGAGATTCCATCTGAACATGAGGAAGAACTTCCTGACTGTGAGATCTGTTCAACAGTGGAACTGTCCTAGATTGTGGTAGAGGCTCCTTCTTTGGAAGCTTTTAAACAGAGGCTGGATGGCCATCTGTCAGGGGTGCTTTGAATACAATATTCCTGCTTCTTGGCAGAATGGGGTTGGACTAGATGGCCCATGAGCTCTCTTCCAGCTCTTTGATTCTATGTTTAGCCCGAAGAAGAGAAGGCTGAGAGGAGATATGATAGCCATGTATAAATATGCAAGAGGAAGCCACAGGGAGGAGGAGGGAGCAAGCTTGTTTTCTGATTCCTTGGAGACTAGGAAGCAATGGAACAATGGCTTCAAACTACATGAAAGGAGATTCCATCTGAACATGAGAAGAATTTCCTATGAGAGCTGTTCAACAGTGGAACTCTCTGCCCCGGAGTGTGGTGGAGGCTCCTTCTTTGGAAGCTTTTAAACAGAGGCTGGATGGCCACCTGTCAGGGGTGCTTTGAATACAATATGTGCTTTTGGTGTGTGTAGATGTTTTCATATTTCTGCTTCCTCTTCTGTCCTTTCCAGAAATTAGTTGATGAGGAAAAGCTCTTCATGTCACGGCAGCACTTTATGCCCCGATCCGTGGAGAACTTCAATTACGCTTCGTACCACAATCTGGATGAAGTAAGTGTGGATTTGGTTGCCGTTGGGATTGAGAGAAATGCCAAAAAGGTGACTTAGAACAGAGGTGGACAAAGTCCCGGATGGTACTTTTCGCCACCACAATCTGTCCACGCAAAGTCCCTCAATTCCTCCATTAAAACACTTCTGCATTATTGGGGTGTTGTGTAGTTTTCAGGCTGTATGGCCATGCTCTTGCAGCATTTTCTCTAGATGTTTCGCCTGTGTCTCCATTATTATTGGGCAAACTCACATCACATTTATGCAGCATTTACTCCACATTACATTCACTCAAATACATACCCACCATCCTTCTTCATTCATATATTAGCAAACCACAACTCCCAGGGTTGCATAGCATTGAGCCACAGCACACAATGAATCTGATGATTACCTAGCTTGGGAAATAGCCAGAGGGATTTGCCCAAACATTTCCATTCCCAGATTATCTGAAAAGGGTCACAGAGGGGTGTCTGTTTCTAAGTTACATTTGGATACATTTCTATGAAGCAGTTTAAATACATTTCATATATATATAAGAACTAGATACAGTACACAATTGAAAGATAACTCCCACAACTCCATAGCATTGAGCAATAGTGTGACTTTAATAGTGAATTCAATGTTTTTTGTTTTAATGTGCATTTAATTCAGTTCATCTTGGAAGGAGGAGGGTGTTCACACTTTGCATTCCTTCTAGATCTGACACACCTTTCGAAGAGAAAAGGGTCTCCTTATGTAGAACCTTTTTGCTGTTGTTGTTCTTGATTGGATGACAATGTGTCGTTCAAAGAAGACTTGTTGAAGTTCCATCAATTTCACAACAGATGTTTTCTTCCTTAACGTTAGGAGCCATTGGGTTATTGTAGGTTTTTTTGGGCTATATGGCCATGTTCTAGAGGCATTCTCTCCTGACGTTTCGCCTGCATCTATGGTAAGCATCCTCAGAGATTGTGTCCACAACCTCTGAGGATGCTTGCCATAGATGCAGGCGAAACGTCAGGAGAAAATGCCTCTAGAACATGGCCATATAGCTCGAAAAAACCTACAACAACCCAGTGATTCCGGCCATGAAAGCCTTTGACAATACGTTAGGAGCCATTGTTGCTGACTTCCTTTAACTCACAGAATGATCGTCTCTAACTAAGTAAACATGTGTTGTTTACACCAAAATTTCCCAGCTCAGTAGTTTTCTCATTTCAATCAAATCTTCACCTCCTTATTTATTTATTTACAGTATTTATATTCTGTCCTTCTCACCCCTCAGGGGACTCAGGGTGGATTAAAATGTACATATACATGGCAAACATTCAATGCCATAGACACACAACATATATAGGCAGACACACAGAGGCTATTTAACATTCCAGCTTTTTCATGAGGGTATTTTGGCCACCAGGGGAGCTGTCGCTTCACCGTTCATTTGTGACACCGATGAAGTACTTCCTCATTCTTTGCAGGCTTGCTGGAGATTTTTATGGCGTCGTAAATTAACCTCTCCGCATAAGCGGTACCTAAATTTCCTATTTGACAGATGCAACTGTCTTTTGGGCTGCAAGCTACACAAATTGGTCAGAAGCTCTCTCCGACCCGAGCTGGCTTCGAACTCATGACTTTTTGGTCAGTAGTGATCTTAATGAAGGTGACTCCCAGCCAGCTGCCCCACAGTCCCGGTGCTCCTTTGTTTCTCCATAATGCCATTGGTTTTAATTTTAGGATGGTGTCTTCAGTCTTGCCAAATCTTAATGGGCCCTTAGCCAGACCCCAATCATACAATGTCATTCAACTCACTCATCAATGACTCACTGATCTAGGAGCATAGTGTCTAGATCTAGGGAAGTCATGCTCCCCATGTTCTATTCTGCCTTGGTTAGACCACACCTGGAATATTGTGTCCAATTCTGGGCACCACAATTCAAGACAATATTGGCAAGCTGGAATGTGTCCAGAGGAGGGCGACTAAAATGATCAAGGGACTAGGAGAACAAGCCCTATGAGGAGCGGCTTAAGGAGCTGGGCATGTTTAGCCTGAAGAAGAGAAGGCTGAGAGGAGATATGATAGCCATGTATAAATATGTGAGAGGAAGCCACAGGGAGGAGGGAGCAAGCTTGTTTTCTGCTTCCCTGGAAACTAGGACGCAGTGGAACAATGGCTTCAAACTACAGGAAAGGAGATTCCATCTCAACATGAGGAAGAACTTCCTGACTGTGAGAGCCGTTCAGCAGTGGAACTCTCTGCCCCGGAGTGTGGTGGAGGCTCCTTCTTTGGAAGCTTTTAAACAGAGGCTGGATGGCCATCTGTCAGGGGTGATTTGAATGCAATATTCCTGCTTCTTGGCAGAATGGGGTTGGACTGGATGGCCCATCAGGTCTCTTCCAACTCTTTGATTCTATGATTCTATGATCACACAGGTTTAAACCTGGCTCACTCCACAATTCGTTTGACTGATGCTACTGCACTCCAAACTGTGACCAAACAATGCCTTTATTCCAGATGTTTGAGTGTCTTTTCCAGATCAGAAATCCAGAGCAGATTCAAACCCAACTTGCTTTCACTCTCCTCTCCTCTGTGACCACCAGATCTACGATTTCATGGATCTTCTAGTGAGTGAAAATCCCTTGGTCAGCAAAATCCAGATTGGCAAGAGCTACGAAGGTCGCCCAATCAATATCTTGAAGGTAATGGTCATATCAGCACATGTCCTTGATACTTCAATTGGTGGAGCAAATCCTGGCTGGAGGTTCACTGAGTGGACTGTGGCAATCTTTGGTTGGCAGGAGTGAGAAAGACCTGGTGCATCATGATGCCACATCTTTATGGTCAACAAACATATGGCCAAGGTGGAGTGGATCTGATAAGACATGCACAACAGCCCCACGAGGGTTTTAGAAAGCAATAATCAAAGATCTTCAACTGGAAACAAAGTCCTGTAAGATATTGTTGAGGGAACTGGGTATATTTTACCTGAAGAGAATACAGATCCAATTTCAAACATGGGGAGACTTTTGAGATTCTGAAACAAGAGGCTGAGTGACCATCTGTCAGGGGTGCTTGGATTGTGTCTTCCTGCATGGCAGATGGAGTTGGACTGGGTGGACCTCGTGGTCTCTTCCATTTGTAGGGTTTTGTGATGCTGTGATATATCTAAAGGGATGATATGTGGGAGATGGAGCCAGCATGTTTACTTCATGTGAACCAATAGATTAAAATTATAAGAACATTAGGAAGGCCTTCTTGATAATAATGGGTCAACTCTGAGGTTCATGGAATTTCCTTCTTTGGAAGTCTTTATGCAGAAGTTGGATGGGTATCTTTCAAAAGTGCTTTGTGATTTCATTGGCACCATGTTTCCAGTTTGGATGAGCCATGTGTCTCTTGGGGCACATCGACACCATAGAATTCATGCAGTTTGACAAAACTTTAATTACCATGGCTCAATGTTGTGGAGTCTTGGGAGCTGTAGTTTTGCAAGGTCTTTAGCCTTCTCTGCCAAGGAGGGCTTATGACTCACCAAACCACAACTCCCAGGGTTGCATAGCATCGAGCCACAGCACACAATGAATCTGATGATTACCTAGCTTGGGAAATAGCCAGAAGGATTTGCCCAAACGTTTCCATTCCCAGGAGATTATCTGAAAAGGGTCACAGAGGGGTGGCTGTTTCATTAATTGTAAAGGGTAGGAAATACACTGCTTGTTTCTGCCTCGCTGGAGTTACAGTCCAGTTGCTGCTGTCACTATTTCAGGAACAACCTCCGAAGAATATGGCAAAGGGACAGAGATTTCCCACTCCCAATTCTAAATCACAGGAACCGTGAAGTCCACAAAGGTGCATAGTGTCATGACACTGGGAGACGCGTGTATTAAGGGTTTCTTTCTTCTTTGCATTTGTTCTGTAGTTCAGTACCGGAGGAACCAAGCGCCCAGCCATCTGGATCGACACCGGCATCCACTCCCGCGAATGGGTCACTCAAGCCAGTGGGATCTACTTTGCAAAGAAGGTACCATTCCATCTCAAAAGCATGCATTTCACACATAGGTTTGAGCAGCCCTTGCTTGGAAATCCCAAATTGTCCATTTTAGAGACACAGTCATATCCTTCTGTTTAGTTTAAAACCTCTTTCCAAAATGTTAGTATCTTTGGACATGACAACTATGTATATGACTGCAATCTGATAAGGCTCCTTATCCTTTCCAGCATAATTGTAATGCTCCGTTATTAATCCTATGTAAATTTCAGTGGATAGTAATACCATTTATGGATAGTTCTCCACGTTTTCACTTTAACATGATCTGGTACTGAGTGCTAAGTTAGATTTGTACAGGCGTTGATCATCGCAAGCTTAACGAAGCGGTGAAAAAACTTGTGTGTACTGCACTCTCTAAGGTCCATTTCAGGGGCTAATTATTGTCCATCCCTTTCCTTCCATTTCTCTTGTCCAGATCCTTGACACTTATGGCAAAGACCCTTCGCTGACCTCCATCCTGGATAATTTTGACATCTTCCTTGAAATTGTCACCAACCCTGATGGATTTGCCTTCACTCATAGCAAGGTATCTTATGTCCTCACCCCCATTTCCTTCCTTAAATGCTGGGGATGAACTTCAAATAGTAAAGGTAAAGGTTTTCCCGTGACATTAAGTCCAGTCCGAGTCTGTCCGACTCTGGGGGTGGGTGCTCATCTCCATTTCTAAGCCAAAGAGCTGGCGTTGTCTGTAGACACCTCCAAGGTCATGTGGCTGGCATGATTGCATGAAGCACCGTTACCTTCCTGGGCTGCAAAGGTCGACAGTAAGTTAGGCAAATGGTCGGGAGCTTACTCTGACCTGGGCTGGCTTCGAACTCATGAATGGTACCTATTGATCTACTCACATTTGCATGTTTTCAAACTGCTAGGTTGGCAGAAGCTAGGGCTAACAGCGGGAGCTCATGCCGCTCCCCAGATTTGAACCTGCAACCTTTCGGTCAGCAAGTTCAGCATCTCAGCGCTTTAACCCACTGTGCCATCGGGGGCTCCTGGACTTAAGATACAACCTTAGAAATATCTATGCTGTTTGAGATGCGCATTGATTAAACTTTTTGGGTGTTATAGAACCGCATGTGGCGCAAGACGAGGTCAATCAACGCTGGGTCATCGTGCGTTGGAGTAGACCCCAACCGGAACTGGGATGCGGGTTTTGGAGGTGAAAACATTTCTTGTAACACTTCTCTATCTTCCATGCTTTCTAGACATGAAGAGGAATCACTGTCATTGTTATTATTAATAATATTGACTCAAAGTGGTCAGCAGTAAAAACAATACAATAGTGGTCTGCAAACACTTAGAAACAAATGCGATCATCGCTAATAGTCAGCATGGATTTATCATAAACAAGTCATGCCAGATTTTTGGCCTGCATCAATAGGAGTCTAGTGTCTAGACCCAGGGAAGTCATGCTCCCCATGCTCTATTCTGCCTTGGTTAGACCACATCTGGAATATTGTGTCCAATTCTGGGCACCACAATTGAAGAGAGATATTGACAAGCTGGAATGTGTCCAGAGGAGGGCGACTAAAATGATCAAGGGTCTGGAGAACAAGCCCTATGAGGAGCGGCTTAAGGAGCTGGGCATGTTTAGCCTGAAGAAGAGAAGGCTGAGAGGAGATATGATAGCCATGTATAAATATGTGAGAGGAAGCCAGAGGGAGGAAGGAGCAAGCTTGTTTTCTGCTTCCCTGGAGACTAGGACACAATGGAACAATGGCTTCAAACTACAAGAAAGGAGATTCCATCTGAACATGAGGAAGAACTTCCTGACTGTGAGAGCGTTCAGCAGTGGAACTCTCTGCCCCGGAGTGTGGTGGAGGCTCCTTCTTTGGAAGCTTTTAAACAGAGGCTGGATGGCCATCTGTCAGAGGTGCTTTGAATGCAATATTCCTGCTTCTTGGCAGGGGGTTGGACTGGATGGCCCATGAGGTCTCTTCCAACTCTATCATTCTATGATTCTATATAATTTAAAACTTAAGAATATTAAACATCGGGATACCAAAAATACCTAGTTAAAACCATTCCATTAACTCCTTTCCTTCCTATACTAGTTCAAAAACACATCACACTAAATGCAAACTACGTGAGAAAAATCCCATACTAGAACAAACAGACATTTTCCATCACTTGAGGAATCACCTCTTCTTTAAACAAACTAAGCTGTCATTTTTCTTGGTCCATCATCATCATCATCATCATCATCATCATCATCATCATCATCAATGTATTACCCACCTCTTCATACATATACTCCTTACAGTTGTGTCTTGAATTCTGATAAATGATTTAGCTGTTGGATCTCTTCTGGAAGGTCCTTCCCCAGAAAGAAAGAATGGTCCCAAGGTGAACCCACAATGCAGATCTCTCAAATTGCATTCATGACTTCTAAGCATAACTCTTGACCCATCAATGGCAATCCTCCACATTTCCAGTCCCACCTGGAGATGCTGAGGAAAAGACTGTGTCTCAGAGTTGACCTCGGTGTCTTTGGATGTTCGTTCTCAGGAGCCAAGTTGTTGCTTTTTGTCCTCCACAGCGGCTGGCGCCAGTGGCAGCCCTTGCACCGAAACCTACCATGGGCCTTATGCCAACTCCGAGCCAGAGGTGAAAGCCATTGTTGACTTTGTGAAGAGCCATGGCAACATCAAGGCCTTCATCTCCATCCACAGCTACTCCCAGCTCCTCCTTTATCCCTTTGGATACACCAGAACGGCTGCGGCGGATAAGGCGGAACTAGTAAGACCATCTTCTTCTTGACCATTTTGTAATTGTTCTTCCTCTCTTGGATCTTCTTCTAATACGTCAACTTCTTCTAATTAATCTTCTAATGTTTCTTCTTCTAGATCTTCTGCTTCTAATGCAACTTCTTCTACTTCTAAAGGATCTTTTAAATTTTATCTTCTTCTAATGGATATTTTTATGTTTCTTTTTCTAGATCAGTGGTTTTTAACCTGTGGGTCCCCAGATGTTTTGGCCTTCAACTCCCAGAAATCGTAAAACTGGCTGGGATTTCTGGGAGTTGTAGCCCAAAACACCTGGAGACCCACAGGTTGAGAACCACCGTTCTAAATCTTCTGCTTCTAATGGATCTTCTTCAACTTCTGGTGGATCCTTTTAAACGTATCTTCTTTTAATTAATCTTCTAATGTATCTTCTTTTAGATCTTCTGCATCTAAAGGTTCTTCTTGTTCTTCTAATGGATCTTCATCTTCTAATGGAGCCTTTTAAATGTATCTTCTTCTAATTAATCTTCTAATGTATCTCCTTCTAGATCTGCTTCTAAAGCAGTGGTTCTCAACCTGAGGTCCCAGATGTTTTTGGCCTTCAACTCCCAAAAATCCTAACAGCTGGTAAACTAACTGGGATTTCTGGGAGTTGTAGGCCTAAAACATCTGGGGATCCCAGGTTGAGAACCACTGTTCTAAAGGGTCTTCTTGTTCTTCTAATTCAGTAGTTCTCAACCTGGGGTCCCCAGATGTTTTTGGCCTTCAGCTCCCAGAAATCCTAACAGCTGGTAAACTGGCTGGGATTTCTGGGAGTTGTAGGCCAAAACACCTGGGGACCCACAGGTTGAGAACCACTGTTCTAATTGATCTTCTCCCTCTTCTGGATCTTCTTCTTCTGATTGATCTCATCCCCCTCCTCTTCTTTCCTTTCTATTTATTTCTATCCCAACTTCTTTGGGATCCTTTGCTGCACAAAGGGACCCGACCTTCATAAATATTACTTTAGATTATGGCTCCCATAATCCTTGGCAAACATAGTGATTTGATATTTGAAGACCTGGTCACCCAAAAAAGCAACTTTCTCAGAGTCTCTAGAACATCTCCCTCATATTCAAGAAGGAACCCTACCCCAGGCCCAGAAACGTTCTTGAACACCATAGCACTTCCAAACACCTTCTTCATTTTCTTCTGCAATTTTCTCTCAAAATGGCAATGGGAAGTAATTGTGTACCACTTCTTGTTGCCATTTTGAGAGGGACTAAAGAGGGTCTTAGGCTTGTTAAGAGGAGGGGGTTTATGGTCTATGGGCAGACTGGCTCCACTCTTGCTGTGTTACTATCTTCCTTCTGACTGATTTTCTACTCATTTTGCCTCTTCTAGGATGCTGTTGCTAAGAAGGCAGTCAATGCTCTTGCTTCCCTCCATGGGACCAAATACAGATACGGTAGCATCATCACCACCATCTGTAAGTGTCCTAGTGCAAAATCAAACCTGATCCTCCAGGCCACATGGGATGGTCCTATACCAGTGTTTCTCAACTTGGGGGTCGGGACCCCTGCGGGGGTCGCAAGGGGGTGTCAGAGGGGTCCCCAAAGACCATCAAAAAACACAGCATTTTCTGTTGGTCTTTAGGGTTCTGTGTTGGAAGTTCGGCCCAAATCTATCATTGGTGGAGTTCAGAATGCTCTTTGATTGTAGGTGAACTATAAATCCCATAAACTACAACTCCCAAATATCAAGGCCTATTTTCCCCAAACTCCACTAGTGTTCACATTTGGGCGTATTGAGTATTTGTGCCAAGTTTGGCCCAGATCTACCATTGTTTGAGTCCACAGTGCTCTCTGGATGTATGTGAACTACAACTCCCAAACTCAAGGTCAGTGCCCACCAAACCCTTCCAATATATTTCTGTTGGTCATTGGAGGTCTGTGTGCCAAGACTGGTTCAATGCCATTGTTGATGGAGCTCAGAATGCTCTTTGATTGTAGGCGAACTATAAATCCCAGCAACTATAACTCCCAAATATCAAAATCAATCCCCCTTCCCAACCCCACTGGTATTCAAATTTAGGCATATTGAGCATTTGTGCCAAATTTGGTCCAGTGAATGAGAATACACCCTGCATATCAGATATTTACATTACAATTCATAATAGTAGTTCTGAAGTACTAATAATTTTAATGATTGGGGGTCACCACAACATGAGGAACTGTATTACGGGGTCACGGCCTTAGGAAGGTTGAGAACCACTGTCCTATACCATTGCCTTTCTGTGCAAGCTTTTGTACCCAACAATACATATTCAACGCACATGTGAAACATATTTTGTTTTCTATTGCACACTCTTTCCCTGGATGCAGACCAAGCAAGTGGAGGAACCATTGACTGGACCTACGAGCAGGGGATCAAGTACTCCTACACCTTTGAGCTGAGGGACACCGGTCGCTACGGGTTCCTGCTGCCCGCCAGCCAGATCATCCCGACGGCCGAAGAGACCTGGCTGGGCCTCATGGTCATCATGGAACACACCCGGGACAACCCCTATTAAGCCGGAGCCAAACCGGCTCCTCTGCAGCAACAATAAAGCCTTTGCATGAGTTATGCTCCTGTGGCTTTATTCCTGCAAGTAAGGGCTTGACAAATATTCTCCCAGTCTGCACTGGCCTTGCAGCGACCCCATTAATGCCACACACATAATGAGATTAGGGTAACTGGCCATGTGTTTACCCCTGACAAATTCACCTCACTCCAAATTTCCAATTTATTATTTTCGGTCCTACGGCTTCAATAATTCTCCATGCCGTGCAAGTGAATAAATGTGTGTCCTATTAAACAGACGTGTGCTAATGGAAATACAGTGAGATGTGAATATCTGAACACACAAGCCTTCTTTGAAAAATATAATTAAAATTAAATTAGGGAAAGAACCACCAAACGCTTCTGCAAAAAATCAACTCTTCCTGCAACGAAACAGCAAAATCTTTTGCCTAAAAGTCTAGATTTTTTGTAAAAGGCAAGGCTGTTTTAAAAAATAGATTAAAGTTCAAAGAAGTGTCTTGTAAACCAATCAACACGAACATCACGTGTCAGGATCACAGTGAATAAGCATGTTTTACTCCATGAAGACAAACCCAAAATCATAGAATCATAGAATCCTAGAGTTGGAAGAGACCTCCTGGGCCATCCAGTCCAACCCCATTCTGCCAAGAAGCAGGAATATTGCATTCAAATCACCCCTGACAGATGGCCATCCAGCCTCTGTTTAAAAGCCTCCAAAGAAGGAGCCTCCACCACACTCCGGGGCAGAGAGTTCCACTGCTGAACGGCTCTCACAGTCAGTAAGTTCTTCCTCATGTTCAGATGGAATCTCCTTTCTTGTAGTTTGAAGCCATTGTTCCATCCTAGTCTCCAGGGAAGCAGAAAACAAGCTTGCTCCCTCCTCCCTGTGACTTCCCCTCACATATTTATACATGGCTATCATGTCTCCTCTCAGCCTTCTCTTCTTCAGGCTAAACATGCCCAGCTCCTTAAGCCACTCCTCATAGGGCTTGTTCTCCAGACCCTTGATCATTTTAGTCGCCCTCCTCTGGACACATTCCAGCTTGTCAATATCTCTCTTGAATTGTGGTGCCCAGAATTGGACACAATATTCCAGGTGTGGTCTAACCAAGGCAGAATAGAGCATGGGGCATGACTTCCCTGGATCTAGACACTATGCTCCTATTGATGCAGGCCAAAATCCCATTGGCTTTTTTTGCCGCCACATCACATTGTTGGCTCATGTTTAACTTGTCATCCACGAGGACTCCAAGATCTTTTTCACACATACTGCTCTCGAGCCAGGCGTCACCCATTCTGTATATTTGTATTTCTTTTTTTCTGCCTAAGTGGAGTCTCTTGCATTTGTCCCTGTTGAACTTCATTTTGTTAATTTTGGCCCATCATTGGACCATCTGAATGTGTTCCTTGTGAAGAAAACCTGCACAGAAATTGATTTTATTATCGGCTTGTATAGAGGCGGAAGTCTTTTCAAGAACAGGCCCTATATGCATAATATTCTGAAGCTGAATGCAGACAAGAGACATTTAAAGTTCACTTCAAATTCAAAACACACTTCCTTGAGCAGTTCAATCCCTGAAATGATCCAATTGGTAAACACAAAAGAAACAGTGCCATGATACAGCAGACATTTCACTTTTTATTGAGTTCAGAAACGATTTCTTAAAAAGCCAAAACTATACACAAAACTCTAACAAGCCATTCCAAGTCCAAAGAAGCAGCGCCACCAGCCAAACCATTTCACATAATTGCTCACAAGCAAAACACACAAAACCCACAAAGCCAATAAGATAAATAGTCCTTCCTCCAATGCCAAGGATTGTGGGGATGTTCCTCACAGCCAGGAACGGATGTGGGATGTCTGTCTGATGCTTCAAGATGTGCTCCAAAGAGGGATAGGCTGGACATCAGCAAGAGTTTTGTGCCAATGGAAGGATCCATTCCTTCCCGAAGCAGCTTCACTCTGAACAGGAACACTCCCAAAGGCCTGGCATTTGTAAACAAACCCAGCACAAGGATAGCAAACAGTCTCGAAACATCCACAAAGAAAATAAAATATCCAGGTCAAAAGGGGAAAAAAAACAATGAGGCACAAAATCACGCCAGATATATCACAAACATAACATCCAAGACACATTTGCTCTCCTGGATTTCCAAACAGGAATCCTGGAAGTTGCAGTTTTGAGAAGGATTGAAGACTTCTCCCGTGAAAAATGCTTAATCCACTTTCTAAGCAGCCCTTTCCAATACTCTGGACAGCTTTACGGTACGCAGGTCCTAGTAGATAGGACTGCTTTGCAATATATTAATTTATTCTAGATTATGCACAATTTTTAAAAAGGACTCTGTTGTAAATGTGAACCGAAATGGCCACGGCTAGAATCCAGCTAAATAAAAAACTATTACAAACGGAGAGGTGGTTGCGGAGGAGGAGGTGGAAGCGACACAGATGATACCCACACGGAACATCAACCAACTGGTCCCACAAAAAAAATACATTGCAGTTAAATAAAACTCAATTGGAATGACAAGGGGGTCACTGTCAAGTATGAGAAAGTGGGGAAAGGAAATACCTCTATCGACTCAGTAAAATTTCCATTGCATGATTTAAAACTGGCTGCTAGATATAGATCAGGCATGGGCAAACTTCAGCCCTCCCTCCAGGTGTTTTGGACTTCAACTCCCACAATTCCTAACAGCCGGTAGGCTGTTAGGAATTGTGGGAGTTGAAGTCCAAAACACCTGGAGGGAGGGAAGTTTGCCCATGCCTGGTATAGAAGCAATCTTGGATCTACTGGACTTGAAAACACTTGGATCACAATGATCTCTGTGATGTACTTGCAATAATATCAAACAGTCCTAAACCAGAAGCAGCAACAGAGGCGCCTCTCATCCGAAGTGATGCCCACCGGCACCCATCCTTTGACCAAGCCTCTTCTCAGGCCATTACAGCAGCATTCACACTTCCAAAACTCTGCTTCGTGTGAACTGTAAGGAAGAACAGGAAGGTTTGGCCTATTTGTATGTAGTCAAAATCATGGAGAAGACAGCTTGCTTGCACCTCTATGGATAATAATGCGTTTACCCATTCGTTCAGTTGTTGCTCTTGCAAAACAGACTAGAGTTTTGGGAGAGAACGTGGCCCCTAAAACATCCAATCTATATAAATAAAAATGTAATGAAAAATGGATGAACATAACTCAAAAACCATTGGACATATTGACATGAAATTTGGACACTATACCCCTAAGAGACCAATGAGTGACCATCATAAAACCTCCCCAAAAAACAGCGGAAAGGATTTAAAACCCAAAAAAGCTAAATGATAAAAAGTTAAATGACAATACAGAAAAAAAGGGAAGGAAGGGAAGAAAGGAAGGAGAGGGAGAGGAAAGAAAGAAGAAAAAAAGGGAGGAAGGAGGAGAAAAGGAGGAGAGAATGAAAGAAAATAAGAGAAGAAAGAGGGAGGAAGGAAGGAGAGGAAGAAAGAGGGAGAAGAAAGAGGAAAGAGAGAAGGAAAGGAAGCAAAGAGGGAAGGAAGGAAAGAAAAGAGAGGAGAAAGAGAGGAAGAGAAAGAAGGAAAAAAGAATGAAGGAAGGAAAGGAAAGGAAGGAAGGAAAGAAGGAGAGAAGGAAGAAAAAAGAAGGAAGGAAAGAGAGTGAAGGAAGGAAGGAAAGAAGAGAGAAAGAGGGAGGAAAGGGAAAGAGAGAGGAAGGATCGAAACAAAAAGTGAAGGAAGAAAGAAAAAGGAGGGATGGAAAGAAGGAAAAGAGAAGGATGGAACCAAAAAGCGAAGGAGAGGAAGAGGTAGAGAAGGAGAAAGGAGGGAAAGAAGAAGGAAAAAGAAAATGGAGGAAGGAAGGAAAGAGAAGAAAGGAAGAAAAGAAGAAAAGGGAAGAAAAGGAAAAGCAGGAGGAAGAGGAGGGAAAGAAGGAGAGAAAGAGGGAGGGAAGGTTGGCTACAGCAACGCGTGGCGGGTACAGCTAGTGGAACAATAAGATTCCTTGTGGAATCATCTGTGTTTATGGAATCTGCTTGGAACTCATCACAAGTAGGTTCTGGTGGAGAATGACATATTTTTTCTTGGGGAAGGTGAGTTAACCAGGACTCCCTCCTCACATCTTTCAAGATCACATGCAGAGATATTTCTATGGACTTCACTAAGCAGCCAAATACTTGTCACTCCGTTAACAGTTGAGTATGCTCCTGCTGACTGGGGTCCCATCTATGGGGATCCTCAATGGGCTTACAGCTTAGAGAAGAGGAAAGGCAGCTCCTTCCCTGGGGACAGCACTGTGTGTTTATGAGAGAGGCTTAGCAGGAAGAAGCTGTAAGCTCTATCGTCGCTAAGCTAATCAGGATGATAACGCTGCTCATCAATTGACCTCTGCAGAGGAGAAATCCACCATGCAGGCAACACACTAGGATAGGAGAAAGGCTGCCGTGTCTGCCTGGTGTTGAAACTGGACATTTGAGAGAACTGTTTGGAAAATACAGGGGATGTGCTGCCATTGGCAGGATTCACCAGAAAGGTGATGGATGGATGATCCCACGGCAGAATGCAATGGGGATGATGGCACAGATCCTCCTTCACAGCCAACTCTCAGAAAGAGACGACACTGCGCCAGAGGGGCAGCATGGAAGCAACCCACCTTAGTAACCCTTTAAGAAAAGTCTGAAAACTTGGCTCTTCCAGCGTGCCTTTGGAGAGTGACCATTGGTCCCAGTTCTGTTTGTTCCATCTACAGGGTTGCACTTTCCCTCGTCCTAAACTGAAAATCTAACCCCACTGTTCATCCTTTTTGGGCTCCTCTCAATTACACTTTTTCTATTCCTACCTCAACCAGGGTTTTATCATTTTACCTCGTCCATTTGGCCTGCCCATTGTGTTTGATTTTATATATGTCAATCTCCTCTGTTTATTTTATTTTGCTACTTTCTATATGGCCATGTTCTGGAGGCATTTCTCCTAAGAAGAGAAATGCCTCCAAAACATGGCCATATAGCCCGAAAAAACATACAACAACCCAGTGATTCCGGCCATGAAAACCTTTGACAATACATCAATCTCCTTTGTTTATTTTATTTTGCTACTTTATGTATTTTATTCTGATGAAATTTTGTTGCCAGCATTTTGTATTTTATTTCGCTGTATTGTATCTTTGGGCTTGGCCTCATGTTTTATTATGTTAATGCTGTTGATGTATTGTTTAATTTATGTTAATTGTGGTTTTTATTTTAACTGTTATGTATTGGCATCATGCCAGCTGCCCAATGCAAGGCATCGAATTTTGCCATCTGTGTGTAAACCGCTTTGAGTCCCCCCAGGGATGGGAAAAGCGGTATATAAATGCTGTAAATAAATAATAATAAATAAATAATGTTAGCTGCCCCGAGTCCCCTTTGGGGAGATGGTTGCGGGGTACAAATAAAGTTTATTATTATTAAGTTTATTATTATATGGGCCCATCAAGACAAACAAGCTGTAGATATTCATGATATATCTTCTAGCCTCTCTCTCTTCTTACTAGTTGATAAAAGAAGTGGGTTATTGTAGGTTTTTCCGGGCTATATGGCCATGTTCTAGAGGCATTCTCTCCTGACGTTTCGCCTGCATCTATGGCAAGCATCCTCACAACCTCTGAGGATGCTTGCCATAGATGCAGGCGAAACGTCAGGAGAGAATGCCTCTAGAACATGGTCCATATAGCCCGAAAAAACCTACAACAACTCAGTGATTCCGGCCATGAAAGCCTTCGACAATACATTGATAAAAGAAGTATGGGAAGCCAACCTCTTTCCTTTCTGGCAAACTCACTCTCCATAATCTGCCTCTATTAGTCCATAGTTTCCTCCCACAAGACTGGAAGCAGCTGGTGGGACATCCATATAGGAATAAACTGTGAAAGTCAAAAGTGTAAAAGCAGCACTTCCACCCTCCCACATGTGATTCTGCTCCTGATTGTGGCCAACCACTGCATCAGGGAAAAATGCACATTTTGTTCCATGGTGAGGTGAAGCACCGTTCTGAAATACCAAACCCCACATACAGAAAAACTATAAAATGGAATGAAGTGGGCTTACTTGACTACAATCCAGGCGAGCAGACGTCTTCTCGAGGGAAATAAATGAACCTTGATGATGGGCTGAGTGGCTGCTCTGGTCCTTGTTACCCTCCACAAAATTTTACGCACAATCAAGATCTTTCATGATTTGGGTTGTTGTAGGTTTTTTCCGGGCTATATGGCCATGTTCTAGAGGCATTCTCTCCTGACGTTTTGCCTGCATCTATGGCAAGCATCCAACAGACCTCACTACCTCTGAGGATGCTTGCCATAGATGCAGGCAAAATGTCAGGAGGGAATGCCTCTAGAACATGGCCATCTAGCCCGAAAAACCTACAACCGAGTGATTTCGGAATGAAAGCCTTCGACAATATATTTTCATGATTTGGTCCCCTACAGAGTGAAACTCTCTCTCCTTCATGCTTTGTACAAATGTACACCCTTTGGAAGGATCGCAGTAAGAAAAAAGGTTGGGTCCAAATGGTCAAAGACTGGAAAGAGAAAGGGTCACATCCTTCCTCTGTTGTGCAGAAGTGACATTCAAAAACAATCCTCTGGTAGAAGTCTCAAAATGGAACATGGACATTACGCATCCATGCCCTGACTACACCCCCCAATAACAGTTAAAATTTTACATTTGTGCTAACTCATCTTCCTCTTGGCCACACTTAATACTTCCCTGCTTTACTTTTCCCTCTAGAATCCAAATTGTATTTTCAATCTTTCTAGTCCTCATGTGCTAAAGAACATGAGCAAATAGTGTTGCAGAACACTGATGTCTAAAAAAGTCAGCTTGTTTCTTCCCCTCGGTCATCCCCTGCCCCCCGAACCCAGAATTATGTACCAATGGTGTTTCCCCCTTCGGGAGGTCACCCTTCCTCCTCCTCCTCCTCCTCCTCCTCCTCCCTTCCACCTCGTTGTCCTTTGCATACCACCTTCCTAAAAGCGAAAGACGGGCTGTAGTGATCAAAGGGCCCCAGGGAGGGGGCTCTCTTTTATTCAGCAGGGGGTAAAAGACACCGGCTATCTCCAGGGCTTGCTCTGCAGGTTGCAGCTGCTGAGGGAGCGGGCGGAGAGCGCCACGGCCGAGTTGGCGGCGGAGGCAGAGGTGGGCAGGTTCTGGCTGCTCCGGACAGTGGTGGCCTTGGCATCTCGAGCGGAAGAGCCGCGGCTGAGACGGCCTGCAGGAGGAGAAGGAGGAGGAACAGAGTTAGACATGAGCCAGGAAAGGGTCTTTGAAAATTGCACTAGTGGGCTTTTAGAGGCCTGTCACTAAGCAAGTGTCTAGATCTAGGGAAGTCATGCTACCCCTCTATTCCGCTTTGGTTAGACCACACCTGGAATATTGTGTCCAATTCTGGGCACCACAATTGAAGAGAGATATTGACAAGCTGGAATGTGTCCAGAGGAGGGCGACTAAAATGATCAAGGGTCTGGAGAACAAGCCCTATGAGGAGCAGCTTAAGGAGCTGGGCATGTTTAGCCTGAAGAAGAGAAGGCTGAGAGGAAATATGATAGCCATGTATAAATATGTGAGAGGGAGCAAGCCTGTTTTCTGCTTCCCTGGAGACTAGGACGCAATGGAACAATGGCTTCAAACTACAAGAAAGGAGATTCCATCTGAACATTAGGAAGAACTTCCTGACTGTGAGAGCCATTCAGCAGTGGAACTCTCTGCCACGGAGTGTGGTGGAGACTCCTTCTTTGGAAGCTTTTAAACAGAGGCTGGATGGCCATCTGTCAGGGGTGATTTGAATGCAATATTCCTGCTTCTTGGCAGAATGGGGTTGGACTGGATGGCCCAGGAGGTCTCTTCCAACTCTATGATTCTATGATTCTAAGTTCTGCCTTTTAAAAATAGTCTATTTTTACCAGTTCACTAAAGAGGGTATCATCACAATTGTAGAACAGATTCAAAGAGCTGGAAGAAACCCCAGGGGCCATCCAGCCCAACCCCTATCTGCCAGGCAGAACCTCACCATCAAAGCACTACTAACAGATGGCCATTTAAGCTTCTGCTTAAAAACCTCCAGAGAAGGAGATTCATATTTCATATACTGTCGCACCTCAGAGTAGAACCACCTTGCTTAAGACACCAAAGAACACACCAGCAGTTGTCTTTGTAGTTTTATTTAAAATAAAAGATAAAAAGTTCAAAAAGCAAAAGTATATTTCAAAAGATCAATCTAAGGTAACATAGGCAAACAAGATCCATGAAGGCATAGGGAAGGCAAAGTCCCATGAGAACATGACAAAGTCCAGAAACATGAGCATGAATAGCTGCAAGATAAATCCAAAGTCTCTTGGTTGAAGCAGGAAGTTGCTCTGACACTGAGGCACACTCAAACATTTTGGACAACATGAAGACGTTCCTATGGCCCCGGGCCTTTTTCTCTCTTGCCTCCTGGTGATCCTGACACTCCTTCGCACTTTCAATTCCAATCGATCAGCTCGATCTAAACCACCAGCCCCATCAAGGTCAAATTCCTTGTTAGGGGGCTGAGAACTATCCTCCCTTCCTTCATCAGGCCCACAATTGATAGTAAATCAATATGAAAAAATATTATTTTAAAAAGTTCAGCAAAAACTATGATAATGGACATTTAAGTAGTGAACCTAGTACTTTACATACTTTCCTTGTCCATTACAAACTTAAGTGTCCTTTAAAACCTCAGCTCCAAGAAGCCTAGCCCAGGCATGGACAAACTTTGGCCCTCCTCCAGGTGTTTTGGACTTCATCTCCCACAATTCCTAACAGCCTGCTTTAGCCAGTATGGCCAACTGTCAGGAATTCTGGGAGTTGAAGTCCAAAACACCTGAAGGGTCAAGGTTTGGGAAACACTGCTCTGGGGGTGTACTTACTGGCAGTGTCTGTGGGAAGCTTCTCTTCTTCTAGATAGTACTGTATCTTCTGTAGATCCTCGGCCGTAAACCTCCACTTGTTCTCAGCCGGAGGGGGCGGGGGCTGCCTGGGGGTGTTCCTTCGGCGGGCGCTCCCCGACTGGGCAGCCACCAAGCAGGAGGCAGGGAAGGAGCCCGTCACCAGGCCTTCGGGGACCTTCTGGGCAATGACCCTGAGACCTGGGAGAAGAGGAAGGGGATAAGGCGAGAGAAAGACAAGATGCTGGCAAAGGAACACCTGGCAAGGTTCGCACAACAAGTTAACCTCCTACAAAGCCCTGTATCATCAATATGAACCCAATGTCAGAGAGATGCTTTAGATCAGAGGCGTGGGCAAACTTCAGCTTTCCGGGTGTTTTGGACTTCAACTCCCACAATTCCTAACAGTCTACCAAAACATCAAGGGGGGCACTAAAGTTTGCCCATGCCTGCTTTAGATTATTATACTAGACATGCTAAGTAGCAAGGACACTGCACAAGGGTAGGCAACACTAGCCTTCCAGGTTTTGCTGGACTGCAGCTTTCACTCTCCGTCACTAATTGGATTGGTAGAGGTTAAAGCAGTGGTTCTCAACCTGTGGGTTCCCAGATGTTTTGACCTTCAACTCCCAGAAATCCTACCAGCTGGTAAACTAACTGGGATTTCTGGGAGTTGTAGGCCAAAACACCTGGAGACCCACAGGTTGAGAACCACTGGGTTAAAGAGACACCTGGACATCCAGCATTTCCAACCTGATACAAAGTCTTTTGCTAAAGATGCATCAGGTTGGGATGAAGCCCCAAACAATATCTACATGGGCAACCCCGGGTTTACTTTTGTGCTGGAAGCTGGAGAAGTCCACAATCACCACCACTATCATTTTTATTGCTGCTATAAAATCATCATCATATTTCTTTACAACTTCTCCATTTCCCCCCAAACCTGTGGCTCAAGGAAGCTTGCACATGAAAACATAGTTGAAAAATACATTATTTTAATACTTATAATAAAATAATAATAATAAAACTTTTTTTATATTCTGCTCTATCTCCCCAAAGGGATTCAGGACGGATTCCAAACATAAAAGGCAAACATTCAATGCCTGAATACAACAACAATACATCCATGCTACAAAATTTATACAGCCCAACATATAAATATGAATTATGACTTAACAAATTAAAATTAAATAAAAATCACAGCCTGTTATAACAGACATAAGACAAAACATCAAATGGAAACAATAATTTCCCATTTCTATGGGGCAAATCGATTAATCATTGCTCAAGGTATCTATTGAGCTGGTGGGTGACCAGGTGGGGTGATTATAATTATCATCATAGTATACAAAACATTAACATTAGACACAATTTTAAACTTTTAAATTTGAATTCCTATGTTTAGGGTACAATAGGATTGCCATTATTCACAAGGGGTAACAACTCTTTACTTAGAGAAGAACCTCAGGAAAAAATTGCATAAGGGATTGACATAACCGTAACATCAGCCTGGGCAAACTTTGGCTCTCTGGGTGTTTTGGACTTAACTCCCACAATTTCTAACAGCCTAGTGGGAGTTGAAGTCCAAAACACTTGGAGGGCCAAAGTTTACCCAGGCCTGATCTAAACTGTATTTATTTAGTTATACTCCGCCTTTCTCCCTGTGGGGTCTCAAGGCAGCTAACTATCCCACACTTGGCTTAAGCTGCATTAATCCTATATTGCTGGTGTATCCTTGGTCCTTTACAAGCACAAAAATGATGATGGGGCCCTTTTCCTTGTACAGTTCTGGCCCAACTTACCTGTCCAAATGCATCTCCCCTTATGAACCTGCTAGGATTTTAAGATGGTCTGGGGAGGCCCTGCTTTCAATCCCTCCTGTGTCACAAATACGTTTGGCGGGGATGAGAGACAGAGCCTTCTCAATGATGGCCCCTTGGCTATAGAACGCCCTTCCTAGAGACAGTAGATCAGCCCCCTCCCTCTTAACATTCCAGAAAAGAGTCAAGACCTGGCTGTTCAAGCAAGCGTTTGAAAATGCAATGTAAAAGACATAGGAATTTGGAATGACTGGACGACGAGATGGATAACGTTTTTAATTAGGAGACGCAAATGGCTTATGTTTTATTACTTTTGTTTGGTTTTATACTATGTATTAATGTTTTAAAATGTTTTATGATGTTGTTGGGCATCGAATCGTTGCCTTGGTAAACCGCCCTGAGTTGCCTGAAAAAGACGGTATACAAATATAGCAAATAAATAAATAAATAATATTTCCAGGTTATCAACGCCCACCAAACCCTCCTGTGGTTTGATCCTGTGGTTTAACCTCCTGTGGTTTGATCAAAGCAAGAAGTCGATTCTGAAAAGGGAAGCAGGAAATTCCCAGGACTATCCCAGCCTGTCTTACCTCCAGAGAGCATGAATAAGTTCTCAAAGCCCCTTTCGCACATGGTGGTGGCCGCCTGGCTGGCCACTCTCTCGTCATCGTCGTAGAGGATGATGATCTTTCCATGAGCATTTTTCTGGTAGGTGTAGATGTTAAGGCTAATATTGTTGTATTAATCGCATGAAGTGATTAGCCTATCGACTAAGCTTTCCCTAAATACGTGTTATGGAACAGTAATGATTGCTTCTTTTGAAGTGGACACTAAAGAGCAAGGGTTCCCTGAAATACAAGGACGAAAGGCCATGTAGTTGATACATGGTAAGTTTTGCAAAGTGGAGAATTCTTCAAGTAAAGTAAATATATGAATGTCAACAAAGGTTTAAAGAATTGCATGAAGTATACTTTGTACTAGATGCCAGTACATTGGATGTTATAATATTGTAAGCATAGATATGATTTACATATCTTGCATTTGTCACTGTTAAACTAACAAAATGAAGTTCAACAGTGACAAATGCAAGATACTCCACTTTGGCAGGAAAAACGAAATGCAAAGATATAGAATGGGGGACAATGCCTGGCTCGAGAGCAGTACGTGTGAAAAAGATCTTGGAGTCCTCGTGGACAACAAGTTAAACATGAGCCAACAATGTGATGTGGCGGCAAAAAAAGCCAATGGGATTTTGGCCTGCATCAAGAGGAGCATAGTGTCTAGATCTAGGGAAGTCATGCTCCCCATGCTCTATTCCGCTTTGGTTAGACCACACCTGGAATATTGTGTCCAATTCTGGGCACCACAATTCAAGAGAGATATTGACAAGCTGGAATGTGTCCAGAGGAGGGCGACTAAAATGATCAAGGGTCTGGAGAACAAGCCCTATGAAGAGCGGCTTAAGGAGCTGGGCATGTTTAGCCTGAAGAAGAGAAGGCTGAGAGGAGATATGATAGCCATGTATAAATATGTGAGAGGAAGCCACAGGGAGGAGGAGGGAGCAAGCTTGTTTTCTGCTTCCTTGGAGACTAGGACGCGGAAGAATGGCTTCAAACTACAAGAGAGGAGATTCCATCTGAACATGAGGAAGAACTTCCTGACTGTGAGAGCCGTTCAGCCTTGGAACTCTCTGCCCCGGAGTGTGGTGGAGGCTCCTCCTTTGGAAGTTTTTAAACAGGGGCTGGATGGCCATCTGTCAGGGGTGATTTGAATGCATTATTCCTGCTTCTTGGCAGAAGGGGGTTGGACTGGATGGTCCATTAGGTCTCTTCCAACTCTTTGATTCTATGATTCTACATTATTGTGATTGCAGAACTGTATTACTTTTTGGTCTTAATGGCCTTCTGCCCTTCTTTTGAAGTGGCTCAGCTGAACAAGCTAAACGTTCGACCTAAACCTCTCGGCTGGTGGAGAAAAGAACCTCGTTCTCTCTGTGCCAAAGGATACGTATTCCAAAACGTCATTCGTATAGGGATTCATGGTCCTGGAGAGTGTGGCAATGGGGTAGGAGTATGCTGCCAAAGCAATAAAACAAGTGTTAATTGACAAGTATCTATTTTGGGGTGCCACTTTGCACCACAGAAAGAAAGAAGACAAGTTTAGCTGGTTGCTTTAAAGCAGGCATGGGCAAACTTCAGACCTCCCTCCAGATGTTTTGGATGTCAACTCTCACAATTCCTAACAGCCGTCACCGTCAGGCTGAAGTCCAAAACACCTGGAGGGTTGAAGTTTGCCCTAAACCTTTTCAGGTATGTGCCCATCCTTCTTTAAGAACGGTAAAAGTGTATATAAGGCTTGCAGGTCTCAATTTGCTTATATGCTAATTTGCCTGTATGTAGCAAATTCTGTAGGTGGAAATAAAGGTAAGAAAATCTCCCATGTTACAAAAGAACTTGCCGTCAAAGCAACGGAATACATTGCCTAAACGAGGAAAATATCTCTTAGATCTCACATGTCCATCAAAGCATAAATTTCAACACACCTTGATTCATGCATGGCATATTCCACAGGCCTAGCTAGAGAGGGGACAGGAGAACCATGTTGAAATATTTGAAAGAATGTCTCATTGAGAAGGGGTGGGTGGGTGGGTGGCCATCTGTTGGGGGAGCTTTGATTGTGTCTTTCTGCATTATTTATTTACAGTATTTCTATACCGCTTTTCTTACCCCTAGGGGGACTCAAAGAGGTTGCATGGCACCTTGTGGTCTTTTCCAGCACAACGATTCTACGATCCTTTTTTGTCGCCCTCACCTCCCACTATGTGACACTGGTCATAGGCATCCCGCTCTCGCACGTCCAGCAGCAGGAAGGGGCAGTCAGGGTAAGGCCCATCTTTTGCAAACGCCTCAGTCTTCTTTGGGGAATCTTTCCCCAGGTCCAGCTCACCTACACCGCTGATCACACTGCAAGGAGCAGAAAGAGTGTCACAAAAAAAGAGCCCCAGGAACATTTGCTTCCATCCTGGGCTTCTTCGTCATGCAAATAAACAGCTTCGCTCTCACAGAGCCTTCTCTCATAACAAACTTATACTGGAGATTCACACAGTAGCTTTTTTACACACCGCAGCCTTTATACTAGAGGTTTACACATGAGGCTTTACACATGAGGCCTTCACTCTGGAGCTTCACACACAAGGCTTTCTCATACTGAGGCTTACCTCACACACAGGCTTCTCTCACAGGCTAAGGCCTACCTCACAGTGTGAGGCCTTCTCACACACTGAGGCTTTTCTCTCACTGAGGCAAACTAACACAGTTTTTAATTGGGTTGTTGTAGGTTTTTTCGGGCTATATGACCATGTTCTAGAGGCACTCTCTCCTGACGTTTCGCCTGCATCTATGGCAAGCATCCTCAGAGGTAGTGAGGCCTGTTGGAACTAGGAAAAAGGGTTTATATATCTGTGGAATGACCAGGGTGGGACAAAGGACTCTTGTCTGTTGGAGCTAGGTGTGAAAGTTTTTTAGTTGATTATTATTATTATCATTATTATTATTATTATTATTATTATTAAAAGATAAAGGTTTCCCCGACATTAACTGTAGTTGGGTCCAACTCTGGGGGTGGTGCTCATCTCTATATTTAAGCCAAGGAGCCGGCAAAGTCTTGTGGCCAGCATGACTGCATGAAGCATCGTTACCTTCCCACAGAAGTGATACCTATTGATCTACTCACATTTGAATGTTTTCAAAATGCTAGGTTGGCAGAAGCTGGGGCTAAAAGCAGGAGCTTACGCCGCTCCACAGATTCGAACCTCCGACCTTTCGGTCAGTAAGTTCAGCAGCTCAGCGGTTTAACATGCTGTGCCACCAAGGGTCCCTATTATTATTATTATTATTATTATTATTATTATTATTTGAAATCAACAAGATGAGTCCACAGCAGACAAGATCACTCTGCTGGCTGTTGTATTGGATCACACCTCGGACACTTCCCAAGTGTCTAGGACTGTGTGATGTATCGGCAAATAATGCGTGCAGATCCCAGTAAGGTGGCCTTTTGCAGCTGGCAGATGGTAATTTTGTCAGCGCTGATTGTGTTTAAGTGCAGGCCAAGGTCTTTAGGCACTGCACCCAGTGTGCTGATCACCACTGGGACCCCCTTGACTGGTTTGTGCCAGAGTCTTTGCAGTTCGATCTTTAAATCCTCATATCATGTAAGCTTTTGTTGTTGTTGTTGTTGTTATTATTGTTGTTGTTGTTATTATTATTATTATTATTATTATTATTATTATTTACCAGCCTCTCCTCATAGCTTGAGGTGGGGCACAACATAGTTAAAACACATCACCAAAAAACATTCAGTAAAATACGTATCTTAAAACATACAGAATACATATATTAACATACACAGAAGATTAAAATTCAGTAGACTTTGAAATTCATAGTTAAACATTGACTTTACTACTTTTTGTCTCCTGTGTAATTTTAGGTCCAGGAGAGGACTTTTCCTAAGCTTCCATGAACCATAGGAATGAGGAAACACTCCCCCCATACCCTCTCAGAACAAAATAAATCACTTTGTGGGATATGATGAAGTATGAGCCTTCAAAGTTCCCAGAACCACCAGTCTATAACATTCGCCCCTCTTGGATGGAAAACATGCTTGAAAGATTTAAGGTAATCCCATCTTTTGAGATCCCATGCATCACCTTTAGTGTCTAAAGTATCAGTTTTATTGGATTTTCCTGTCTCAAACTGCATCCCTGCGTGCTTTTGTAACCCCATCTGTGCAGGTGAGCACAGAGACCAATAACAGCAAGTGGAAGGAATGAAGGCAAACGCTATGTGATACCTCTGTAAGGTGGAGCGATAGGATTCCCCCGCACCGGTGTTGTTGATGAAGAGGATGGGACTGGCTGGTTTCTCACCAGGGCTGCTTTTGCCGTTGGTCTCTGCTTCAGCGTCCACATTATTTTCGGCGGGAGTGGCATCACCTTCTGAATGGGCAAACAACAGGGGCGCGAATAATTCAGAATTATATTATCCAGAGCCCCTGGGAGTCTACAGATGATGTGTTTTCTAGAGATAGCAAACATATACAGCTCTTCTAGTACCATACAATGTGTTTGTTTTTCAACCTTGTGCTTGGAAAGAATTTCAGGATTTTTCTGCAGGATTTCCATTGTCACTTCCATACATTCAAAGCCCACAGACGGTAAAATTTTGCTCTGTGAGCATCTGCTGGAAAGTGCTGTGATATCACTGATAATGTCAGTAGTGTACAGAAATATTTAAACAAACACATTGAAAAACAAAGTAGCTCATAGCCAAAATCCTTTCATTGCAATAGTAATTTCCATGTTAAGAATGTTAAGATGGCCTTGCCTTACGTGTCATTCTATAGATGTATTAGACCAGGGGTCCTCAAACTTTTTAAACAGAGGGCCAGGTCACAGTCCCTGAAACTGTTGGAGGGCCAGATTATAATTTGAAAAAAACATCAATGAATTCTTATGCACACTGCACATATCTTATTTGTAGTGCAAAAACACTTAAAAACAATAATTAAAATGAAGAACAATTTTAACAAATATAAACTTATTAGTATTTCAATGGGAAGTGTGGGCCTGCTTTTGGCTGATGAGATAGGATTGTTGTTGTTGTTGTTGTTGTTGTTGTTGTTGTTGTTGTGTGTTTTCAAGTCATTTCAGACTTAGGTTGACCCTGAGTGAGGGCTGGGTAAATTATCTTGTATCCGGCCCCTGGGCCTTAATTTGAGGACCCCTGCATTAGACTATAGTGCCCATTATCCCTTGCACCGCGGAAACATAGGAGTTGTAGTTCAGCATATCAACAGTGAACATTAGACTGGGGAAGACTACATTAAAACTGAGTCCAGAGGGTTACCATCTAGCTTTTGGGGTTCCTCAGGTGGCACTTCCGAGTTTTCATCTGAGAGAGAAGCAACCTGGATCACCTGCAGAATGAAAGACATGAGCATTAAACACTTGGGCCCCTTCCATATTGCCATATAATCCAGTTCAAAACAGATAATCTGAATTTTGTTTGGCAGTGTAATAATAATAATAATAACAACAATAATAATAACAATAATAACAATAACTATTATTATTATAAATGTTTAAAAGTTTTATACTAATTTATGCAATGCTTTTGATACGAAATAAATAAATAAAAATAATAATCATCATCATCATAGGGTTGTTGTAGGTTTTTCAGGCTGTATGGCCATGTTCTAGAAGCATTCTCTCCTGACGTTTTGCCTGCATCTGTGGCAAGCATCCTGAGGGAGATGGAGGCAGGGGATAAAAATAAAGTAGTTGTTGTTATTATTATTATTATTATTACAGTAGTCCATTCTGGATGTAACTAAGGCATGGACCTCTGTGGCCCAGTCAGGATTCTCAAGGTATGGTTGTAAAAGGCAAAGGCCCTTCCGGCCACCGCCAACACCTGAGCTTCAAGTCTGCAGACCTATGTCCTCAGGGGGACTGTAACCCTGTTGAGCACAGGTTGCCACCCTAGACCCCGATTGGCCTCGCGACTGACCAGGAGGACTTCTGTCTTGTGTGGATTAAGTCTCAGCGTGTTGGCCTTAATCCAGTCTATTGCAGCTGCCAGACACTGATCCAGGATCTGGGGAGCTTCCTTGAACTGGGGTGGAAAAGAGTAGTAGAGTTGCGTGTCATCTGCATAGAGATGGCATCCAACTCCAAAACTAGAAGGGGTCTCAGTTGGCTTGGACCCAGAAAGGGGGGCTTACATGTTTTATTTGGCATAAGCTTCAATGGATGACTAGTCATCTTAGGCACAGAGCAAGAAGTCACTCCATCACATGAAAGTTCATAGCAACCAAAAATTGGTAGACTTTAAAGTCCTAGGAAGGGCTCCTTGTTGCTTTTGCTGAAAAAGCAAAACCCAACTCCAGTCATCCCTCCACATTTGTGAGTTTCATCTTTGCAGAAGTCCTAAGGATTCCTAATGATAATGAACAGTTTTTATTTGCAGGTTCCACTTTGGTGAGGGTCATGTGCTCCCAACCCCAGTGAATGTGTACTTCTGTCCTGAAAATTCAAAGAAGCACTGGGCACTTCAGCAAAACATACAACGTAGAAAAAACACAGAGAAGGCAAGCCAGCCTGTTGGTTTTTCATAAAGCACAACATGAGGTTATGTCTATAAATAACTTCATGGAATATCTGTACAGAAGATATAATAAAAAACAGATATTTCAGAGAACCAGTCCAAAGAAAAACATTACCTACCAGCTGGGCAAAAGTGGTAACTTTCAATCTTTTGAAGAGTTCATCTTTCTTGTACCTGTAGTCTGAAACCAAGAGACATCACCTATGAGATAACGGTTACATTCTTTCCCACGAGATTCAATTCATAGAAACACAAGAATGCTCATGGGATATCCTGAGAGTTTAATCTCGATTCACTAATCCACCTGGTGACTTGGCCAACTCTGAGATTGTTCCTGGAAGGGCCCAGACTTGAGGCGCTCAGTCACCGGATTACAGAGGAATTAATGTTGCTGCCAATCAGGTAAAGATCATTAGCTTGTCTTCATTCAACTCCAGCAGACAGAGCAGTCATAAGAGGCTCCTTTAATCAGTTTATTTGCCAGAGTCTTCAATATGGTCCTTGACCAACCAAGTGTGCACAAGCTTTCAGTCCATAGGAGCAATTTGTGACTAGGTAACTGCATGTAGCCAGATATGTTCAGACTCCATCTGTGTGTTACCCATCAACCACAAGGATCTTGATCAATTGAATGTGCACCCCGCATTCAACTCGCAGAACATAATTTTAAGCAAGACTGCATTTAAGCAGAGAAATAAGTACATGTCCAGCACTTTTCCAACTAAACTCTACTACATAAAGAAACGACCTTCCACCCATCAGGTCTTTTCTTTCCCCATCAACACATGCAATTCAGATGAACTTGAGCTATCGTGGGAAAGTTATCACAATACAGCAAAATGTATGTGAAGCACACAATGCCTGGAAACATGAACTAGGGGGAAAAAACCCTAAATATCCTGTTGAGTTTCATTTTATATCCATACAATAGTCTACAACACAGAACATCCTTTCTTAAAGCTATCATTTATTTAAACCAGACAACTCCTTGGAATCAAAACAAGGAATTATTAATTTGACATAAAATAAAACACAATATATACAAATATAAATAGGTTTTGCTCTGTCTTCCACCTGAAGGACTCTACCTCATTCTTAAGCTATATGAGCTGCTCTAGAACAGATGTGGGTCAAGTATGGTCCTGGGGGGCCATATGCAGACCCCCCAGACTCCTTTTGTGGCCCTCAACTCATCTGAATTCTCTGAGTGACTCTTTTGCTGGACAATAAGACTGATTTCTCTCCACTAGAATCTCCCAGGAGTTGCAATCTTCTATATAAATAAAAATGTAATGTTTGTTTGTGGGGTTAACATAACTCAAAAACCACTGGGTGAATTGAAATGAAAGTTGGGCACTACACCCCTAACAGACCAACGAGTGACCATAACTCATAAACCCCTCCCAAAATACAGCGGAAAGGACTTAAACACTAAAATCTAAATGGTCATACAGTGCATGCGCAAAAATGACAGCTCCCAGCATCCCCTAGACCAGTTCCTTTAGGGGAGGAAGATGCTCCAAATGCACTTCTTCCAAGCTGAAAGCTTGCTTCTCCTTGGATTTCTTTGACAGCATCCCAATCCTTATTCCCTATTCCTGGACTGCAACTCCCAAAAATCCTCCAGATAGATAAGATAGATAGATTAGATAGAGATAGATAGTAGGTAGATAGATCAATCAGGAAGGCTGCTGGGAGTTACAGTCCAAGAATAAGTAGAGAAGGAAGAAAGGAGAGAAGAAAAAGGGAAGGAAGGAAAGGAAGAAAGGAAAGGGAGGAAGGAAGGAAGGGAGAAGAGAAGAAGAAGAAGGAAAGAAAGAAAGAAGGAGGAAGGAAGGAAAGAGGAGAAAGGAGATAAAGAAAGGAGAGAAAAAGGGAGGGAAGGTTGGCCACAGCAACACATGGCAGGTACAGCTAGTGTATCTTTAAAATTAGATTACAGGATCCCTTGCAATGTTTAACATAACCCACCTCCCCAATTTTTTTTAAAAAAACAGGATGGATTTCTGGTACTTCTGCTCATCCTATCCAGCCCCAAGGGTTTCTGGCCCAGACTGCCATCAGTTGCCATTCCTCTTCTATCAAAACATGGCAAAGAAAGTAAAAGAATAGTCCACTTAGTCCTTGACCATTGCCATAACGTACCTGGAGAGAATGCGGAAGGCCCATTGGAGGTTTCAGACATCTCGAAGCAGTATCTCAGTGAGAGCCCTAGTGTCTACAACTCCTCAACAAGCAGCCAACATGAGGCTTGCAGAAAGGAACAAACCCCTGGGGTTGGTTCCTCATCTGCTCCTGCTGGGTCAGGTGCAAATGAGGACTGTCTCTTCTGGCCCTTCCGTTTTGGTTTTCTAGGCTCATAACCTGCTTCGCTCATGTTACAGAAGAGACAGAAGCAACACTGTCCTGGGCATTTAAGCCTCTGTCCAACTGGTGTCATCTATCCATGAGAAATCAAGACTTTTTGCAAATTACCTAAACCACACAAGGTGTTATTCACCACAAGCCCAATGAGAGGGTTTCTGCAACTGAGTTTCTTGGATTTAGACAGAAGGAAGGTTTCATACAAAAGAGACACTAATTTTGCACAGTAGAGAGCTGAGACCAAAAGGGACAGAAACACAACAAGGTTTGTTGTCATAACGAGACCACAGCTAAGATTTCAGCATTCAAAGGCGATCTGTTAACAAAAGGATGTTGTGGAACAGTTCACAATATCTTTTTATTTCTAGTTCACCAAAGAAATGACCAATTTTTAAAGGGAAAACGAGGAGGAAAGAGAACCAACCACTTCCTTTTTAGAAGCTGTATCTGAAAGTCTTTTGTAGTTAGGTATGAAACCTGAAGAATACATGATTTAGAAGAAGAGTCTTATCAGATCTAGGTTTCATCAAGATTGTACTTGTTCTAGGAAGTGTCTAGTCCTTGTTATTCTTGCATAGGGTATTGGGGAAATTAACATGAAACCTGATAATTACATAAGGACAACTGATATAAGATCAAGGTGTTTTTCAATAGTTTATAGAAGTTCAGAAGGAGGGTAGAAAGAGGAGAGAACAGTGGTTTCATTTCTGCTGGATGCCTCAGGACATCTTGTGCAAAAACAATGTATTTACTGTCACCAATTGAGCATCCTTATCTAGAAATCCAAAATTGGAAAGACATAAAATCCAAAACTCTTTCCATGGATGCCTGAGAAAGTGACAGCTTTGCTATCTGATGCTTCAATATGCACAAACTTTGTTTTGTGCACAACATTATTTTTTAAATTGTGCATAAAATCATCTTCAGTCATAAATGAATTCCATATTTAGACTTGGATCCTGTCTCCAAGATGTAAAGGTTATGTAAAGGTTTCCTCTTGACATTAAGTCCGGTCGTGTCTGACTCTGGGGGTTGGTGCTCATCTCCATTTCTAAGCCGAAGAGCCGGCGTTGTCTGTAGACACCTCTGAGGTCATGTGTCCAGCTGTTATCTTCCCACTGGAGCGGTAACTACTTATCTACTTACATCTGCATGTTTTTTAACTACTAGGTTAGCAGAAGCTGGGGAAGCTCACCCCGCTCCCTGGATTTGAACCAGCAACCTTTCCGTTAGTAAGTTCAGCAGCTGAGCAGTTTAACCTGCTACATCACCAAGGACATCTGTCTCATTATGTACCTATATGCAAATGCACATATGCCAGAATCTGAAAAAAATGCCCAAAACTTCTGGTCTCAAGCATTTTGTATATGGGAGACTCAATCTGCATTACAAATATTACATGTAATGTATATGTAATGCAGTATAAATAATATATTTATATTCCATTCATCTCCCTTTTCAGTGGGGTGCCATCTCCTATCAGACAAGAGGCCCTCGAATTTCTATATCCGCACACCATCACCTTCCTGCTCCCAATGATCAGAATAGATATGCAAGTTACTGTTGTAATATTACTCACTTTTCTTGATCTCTTCAAGTTTTTCAGTGTATTTGGTCATACTGCTACCTACGAAAGAAAACACACATAGGAGGAATGCATCCCTCTCTATAGAAGAGGGACAATAACTTCAAAGAACAGAGGGTGAAATCTGAACACTTGCCAAGATGTTATGTCTAGCAGTTAATTCAAAGTTAATTCTGTGCTCATTATTGCTACTGTAGATTAGAATGTCTAGGGCAAAAACCTTAGTCCATAATAATAATAATAATAATAATAATAATAATAATAATAATAACAACAACAATTTTATTTATACCCCGTCACCATCTCCCCAAGGGACTTGGAGCGGCTTACATGAGGCCAAGCCCAACAACACATCAAAAACAACAAGCAATAAACAAAATAAACAATACAATTACAATACAATGCCACCCAGCGGTAGCTCCAAGAATTTTGAAGTATAAATTTCATTTTCATAGTACTCTTTTTCCACTGCCAGGTGGGAGGAATCTTCCTGCTTGCCTCATGTTACTCCAAAAACAACTTTTATTAAGTAGGTACATCTGGGCTGATGATGGCTAGCAGGTAATTAGCGCAAAGCCATTCCATTAATTTAAAGGCTGAGCTTCTGAGGGTGCATCCACACTGCAAAATTAGTGCACTTTACACCACTGCCATGGTTCAATGCTATGGAATCATGAGAGTTTGATGAGGCACCAGAATTTTATTGGCAGAGAAGATTAAAGACCTCTAAAACTACAACTCTTGTGATTCCATAGCACTGAATCACAGCAGTGAAATTTGTCTCAAACTGCATTAATTCTACAATGCAAATGTACCCTTAGCTGCTTTTCGACTCCATGTAATTCCTTTTTTAAAATGAAAAATAATAGCTTTAAGAGAGTGACACTGTTATTCTTAAAAACCCACAAAATAAGATCCAAACATAGCAAGAAAAGTCTGGAAAGTATTTAAAACAATGGGCACAAGGACATGTTTTGCATGCTGATTGCTGGGCACACATCTTTCTTAGAAGGTCTCCGTTAACAGAACTGGGAAAGGACATTCTTTGTCTGAATCTTTGGAAACCTTCATCCAGCCAGGACAGAAAATACGAGGCCAGAAGTGCCACTAATTTGACTCAATAAGACCCAGTTTCATTTGATAAAGAACTGAGAAAAATCAATTTCAGGACCACAGAACTGCCTAGTCAGCCATTTGGGTGGAGGATCTGGGGAGCTGTCATCACCAGGCTCTGTATTTTGTTGACATAGTTAAGTGTACCAACTGTAGAGGAAGAAAAGGGGCCAAGCAAAGTAACCAAGGGAATGTGAAAACAGCAAACACAAGAACTCTATGAATAATTTCCAAGTTCTTACTTTCTGCAAAGCTAAAAATTGGGGGACTGGCTTTTTAAATTTGTGTGAATAGAAATCTTATTTAACAGGAAATTCTTCATTTTGCTTCCTATACATAGTTACCGTATATACTCGAGTATAAGACTAGTTTTTCAGCCCCCTTTTTAGGCTGAAAAAGCTCCCCTCAGCTTATCCTCGAGTCAAGGTTATTTATTATTTTACACTGTTATTAGTATTATTTTTATTAAATTTATTATTTTATTTTATTTTATTTATTATTATTATTATTACATTTACACTATTTTACTCTATTATTATTACCTTTATTATTTTACTTTATCATTATTATTGGTATTACATTTACATTATTTTACTCTATTATTATTATTACATTTATTATTTTACTCTATTTATTATTACATTTATTATTTTACTCTATTATTGTTATTATTATTATATTTCCACTATTTTACTCTATTATTATTATTTTTATTATTACATTTCCATTATTTTACTCTATTATTATTGGATGGATACGTCAGCACATTTACACTGAAGGTTAGAATGATCGTTTAATGAGAGTTGGGTAGTCTTATCTTAAATTACAGTTTTATGTAAATATTCAAAAACATTTAACCTACTGATGCCTCAATTAATGTAATTTTTTTGGTATCTATTTTTATTTTGAAATTTACTAGTAGCTGCATTTCCCACTCTTGGCTTATACTCGAGTCAATACATTTTCCCAGGTTTTTGTGGTAAATTTAGATGCCTCAGCTTATATCTGGGTCGGCTTATACTCAATTATATATGGTAATTTCCTATTTAAGTGCTCCAATTTAATTATAAGGACTGGGACAAATCTTCTCCATTCCAGTCTTGCACATATGTCTGCACAAGTTACCAGCACATGTGGCCAAGCAGAAATGTAGCAATAATAATAATAATAATAATAATAATAATAATAATAATAATAATAATATATTTCTAGACCCAAAGGGACTCAGGGTGGAGTAAAAGTAATATAAAGAATATTAATAAATGATTGCATTTATGATCTCCAGCAACTGTTTTTCACAGGTCAACAGAAAAGCAAATATATTGAGATGCCTTTTCTATTAATCTAATATTACTCCTAATATCAGTCACTAGTAGTCTGTGGCTTAATTCACAATGGAGATTAAGTCATTAATGGTCATTGTCACCTCATGGCTTGACATCACAAACCACACCAGGTCTGGATCTGGGCACAAAACCCTATTTATGGAAAATCCACTGTACGTGAGTGGCCAGATTTGGGGACTTACAGCTCATGGCTTGTCTAGGTTTTGTTACAGAATAGGATGGTTTAAACCATTTTCGTCTGTTGAAATTTGTTTTGTTGTCCATACTCCAGCTCACCTATAAATGTTTTAATAAATAAATTTAATATCTAAGCTGTGTACTTTGCTAAGATTTAAAGCCTTAGATTGAAATATTCCCCTCCCAGAACAAAGAAAGCGAAGCTCACTTACCTGTGTCAAGGCGAGTTTTTACATGCTGGTATTTAGGATTCTGTGGGATCCTTTTGGTCAAAAGCTGGTTTCAAAAAAGAGAGAGAAAAATAAAAATAAAACCCTTCATTACACCTTGAAAATATGCCAGGCATAGAGTGGAGAACTAGCATCCCACCCAATTATTGCTCACCATTGCAGAATCCAAAAATGAAGACACAGCAAGGTTGGAGAAGCATGATTCCTTAACACTGTATACCAGTGCCTATACAGGCTGAGTCTCCCTTTTCTAAAAATGTGTGAGTCCAGAAGTATTTTGTCCCCCTGCCCTTCAGATTTTGGAATGCTTATATTTGTATGAACATAATTAGCTATCTTCCAGGTGGCAAAAAAAAAAATTAAACACAGAATTCACCTATGTTCCATATACACTTTATACACATTGCACAATCTTTTAAATAGTGTTATGCATAAAACAAAGTTTGCATGTACTGAACCATGAGACAGTAAAGGTGTCACTATCACTCCAAAAACATGTGGAAAGCAATACAATTCCTACCTCTTATCTAGATACATCTTGTTAAAAAAAACAAAATCATGACAACAGAGTTCACATTTCCCCATTGAAACAAGGGTTCTGCTTGTCTAATCCAAAAGTGGATTGTGTGAGACAGGCATAATTTTTGCAATTTCACCATTCCTTTTTTGAGATGAAACATGAGTTGATCAGCCTGCTTTGATATCAGGCTCAAAAGATAGAAACTGTGGTTTGACTATGATGGGCCTGGGAGGTCAGACGTGGCATCCAAGCCTATGTACAATAAATACATGAATGTGATTTTAATAATTAAGGCATGCATGTCAGACTACCCCCTTTTTAATGCAGTTAAAACAATCCAAAAACTGGAGAAATTTGAGGCTGGGGTCCTTCCTCCTCCTATCCTGAAGGTAAGACAGTTAAAAAAACAACAACAACAACAAACCAACTCTAAAATGCCATCGAATCTAAAGCATGCACACTGTTCAATGCCCCTTCAACAGGGAAAATGCATCTTAAGAAATGAATACAGTAGTTTTTTTACTACGCCTTTTTAAATGCTTCTGGTGCTCATTATAATTTGTTGTTGTTGTTCATTTGTTCAGTCATTTCTGACTCCTCGTGACCTCAAGGACCAGCCCACGCCAGAGCTCCCTGTCGGCCGTCACCACCCCCAGCTCCTTCAAGGTCAATCCAGTCACTTCAAGGATGTCATCCATCCATCTTGCCCTTGGTTGGCCCCTCTTCCTTTTTCCTTCCATTTTCCCCATTGTTTTCTCTAGGCTTTGCTGTCTCCTCATGATGTGGCCAAAGGACTTCCTCTTGGCCTCTACTATCCTTCCCTCCAATGAGCAGTCGGGCTTTATTTCCTGAACTATGGACTGGTTGGATCTTCTTGTAGTCAAGAACTTTCCTCCAGCACCACAGTTCAAAAGCATATCTCTTCTTTTTTTTATATTTTGATTATGGTACATAACAGAAAAGCAACCCATGGCAAATCAGATATAATCAGGTACCAAAATTTTTGACGTGTACATGCCTCTCTACCTTATTCAATCAAACAGTTAATTTTGACGTTAAGTACAAATTATTATCATTTACATATCTTAATACACATAAACTTGCTATTTCTAGCTGTTTTCCAGTGCTTTCAGTCAGAGCTTAGTATTAAATTTTTTCATAACATTCAGGAAATCAGCACATGGCATTTTACACACATACCCCAGACCTTACACTCAACCCAAAACCCCTATCCTGAACAAACTAAACCCTCATCCCCACACCCGTGCACCCTTCACCATGACTTCCCGCACCGAAACACTATGAAGCCTTTAAGCCTATTTATCTATCCTTATTCATGGTAAACCTAAATTCCTAATGGAGCTCCTCTATATTACTGACTCTCTATTCAGATATGCCATGGCCAACTTCCATTTTTCAGCCTTCCTTATGGTCCAGCTCTCACATCCGTAAGTTACTACAGGGAATACCATTGCTTTAACTATGCGGATCTTTGTTGCCAGTGTGATGTCTCTACTCTTCACTATTTTATCGAGATTGGACATTGCTCTCCTCCCAAGAAGGAAGCATCTCCTGATTTCCTGACTGCAGTCTGCGTCTGCACTCTGTGTCTGCAGTAATCTTTGCACCTAGAAATACAAAGTCTGTCACGGCCTCCACATTTTCTGCACTCTGTGTCTGCAGTAATCTTTGCACCTAGAAATACAAAGTCTGTCACGGCCTCCACATTTTCTCCCTCTATTTCCCAGTTGTCAAACATTCTTGTTGCCATAATCTTGGGTTTTTTTTTTATGTTTCACTGCAACCCAGCTTTGGCGCTTTCTTTTTTAACCTTGATTAGAAGGCTCCTCAGCTCCTCCTCGCTTTCGGCCATCAGAGTAGTGTCATCTGCATATCTAAAGTTGTTAATGTTTCTTCCAGCAATTTTCACCCCAGCCTTGCATTCGTCAAGCCCCGCACATCGCATGATGTGTTCTGCATACAAGTTGAATAGGTTGGGTGAGAGGATACAACCCTGCCGTACGCCTTTCCCAATCTTGAACCAGTCTGTTGTTCCGTGGTCAGTTCTTACTGTTCCTACTTGGTCCTTATACAGATTCCTCAGGAGAGAGACATGATACCTTGGTCTCCCCATATATACCACCAACAACTTGCCACAATTTATTATGATCCACACAGTCAAAGGCTTTAGAACAGTCAATAAAACAGAAATAGATGTTTTTCTGAAACTCCCTGCCTCTCTCCATTATCCAGCATCCGGATATTGGCAATTTGGTCTCTCGTTCCTCTGCCTTTTCTAAACCCAGTTTGAGCATCTGGCAACTCTTGCTCCATTTGGTGGAGCAAGACTTGCTGGAGTCTTCCTTGCAGCCACAAAATACACAGCCACAAAAACAAAACAAAAACAAAAAAACCCAAAAAATAAAAAACCGAAACGGTTGTCACCAACAGACACAAAATGACTACTGTAACCAAGATGTTTTTCTGCATTGGTCAGCAAAGGTAATGTAGGGGAGCAAAGTAAGACAGGAGTTCTTCTCTTGCTTGCTTTATTCCCTTTGCACATAAAAAGAGAGTAAGTCTAGAAATGTCCATGTCTTAACCCACCATATATATTTCCTTTAATAAAAGAGATAGAAGCTCTTCATAATACTGATATTAACCGGAAGAATTCTGGGAAGAGGAACAGGAATGTTCATCTAAAAAACAAGACCCATTTCTCTTCACTATGGTTACAGTCATGGCATGTTGGCACCCATTTGGCAAGCCCGCAACTCTCTTCATATTTACCAGATGATTTCCAAACTGATCAGAAGCTTTGTGACCGGATTCTATGGCATGCATCAGTAAACAGAGTCTTTGATAAACAGCCTTTCAATTACACAGACAATTTAACTATGTACTTCAGAGTCACACAGGCCAGCTTAGCATACACATCAGCTGGCAGAAAACTGTTAGTACACAGCAATATGTTTCATGCTGGTTTTGAATGTGGGCTCCAAATGCAAAACAGTTCTTCACAATTTTGGACACCATCAACATTTTACCTGAGGCAGACTCTAAGGGCCCTTCCACACAGCCCTATATCCAGGAATATCAAGGTAGAAAATCCCACATTATTTGAGTGTGGACTCAGATAACCCAGTTCAAAGCAGATATTGAGGGATTTTCTGCCTTGATGTCCTGGGATATAGGGATGTGGAAGGGCCCTAAGCAGAAATGTGAGTCTGGGTTCGTTTAATTCAATGGTTCACAATCTCTGGGCCTCCAGGTATTTTGGACTTCAACTCCCAGAAATCCCAGCCATCTTACCAGCTGTTAGGAACTGTGGGAGCTAAAGTCCAAAATACCTGGAAGTCCAAAGGTTGGGAACCACTGATTTGTTTGCAAAACCACATATTATTTTCTCTACAGCCTGGAAGTTGAAGACACAACATCTTCCTATACATACATTATCTAATTTACAAACTGAGACCAGCCTTGAGGAGAGGTAGGTATCAAGCAGATGGCAATGATGATATGACAATATTCAATGGGCATCAAATAAGCCATGAGGAAATTCTGGAATGGGTCTCTACTATTTCAGTCTAATGCAGAAAACCAGAAAATTGCAATCAATCTGTATCAATTAGCGTAGTCTATGGAGCCCCCAGTGGCGCAATGGGTTAAACCATTGTGCCAGCAGGACTGAAGACCAACAGGTCAGTGGTCCTAATCCGGGGAGAGTGGGTTGAGCTCCCTCTGCCAGCTCCAGCACCTCATGCTGGGACATGAGTGAAGCCTCCCACAAGGATGGTAAAACTTCAAACATTCTGGCATCCCCTGGGCAACGTCCTTGCAGACAGCTAATCCTCTCACACCAGAAGCAACTTGCGGTTTCTGAAGTCACTCCTGACACAAAAAAAGTGCAGTCTACATCAGTCTTCCTTAATGTGATGACCTCCAGGTGTGTTGGATTATAATTAACATCACTGCATGTCATGGGAATTGTATTCCAACACTTCTGGAGAAAATCAGCTTTGTTTACACTGGTTTGCAGCAGTCTGCCAGGATTTTACACACTTAGCTTTTCTATTAAGAAAATCTCAATATGATGGATAGTACTGAACCTAGCAGCCCAGTTACAACTTACCACCCAGTTAAGGGCACTGTAACAGCATAGCAATGGCAGCAGATGCTTAGGTATATATAGCTGCAATTTTGGAAGTCGCTACTAAAATGTTTGTCATCTCAATCCTGACCTCCACAATTAAGAGATTCATGAAGCTGGATGTCAAGTCCAATCAAGCTTCCCCTATTGCAGAAAGCCAGTCCTAAGGATCCCTGATAACTGATCATCTAGCCTTTGATTTAAAATCTCATGTGAGCTTGCCATCAAAATACCAATCATAGATCACACTGCACACCCACCAACTAACTAACTCATGGAGTGTTTGACCTGGAAACTATGAAGAGCAGTGAGAAAATCTGGGTTGGGCAAGACCACAGAATAATACAATGTGAAGGGATGCATAAACATTCAAGCTTGGAGATCCGCATTATTGTTGTTTATTCATTTCTTTTCTTCCTTACCCCTACACCACTGGAGAAATTACACTGTTTAGCCAGTATTGCACCACCTGACATCCACCAGGAAGTAGCAGCCAATAGTGAAAGGACCAAGGCAGTGACATCTCCAGCTCATCCCTTGTTTTGGTATCAGCCAGCACGTCAATGACTTAAATAAAGAAATAGTTTTCTAAGATCTACAGAGACACTCGCTGGAACACCTCAGCAAGCGAGAGTCCAAAAGTGGCAGGCTCAAACCCAGAACCTCAACCAATGGCTGATACCAAATGAGAGACTCCCCCCTGGGCACACAGAAGACTGGGCGACTTGGAAGGTGCTGAACAGACTGCGCTCTGGCACCACGAGATGCAGAGCCAACCTCAAGAAATGGGGCCACAAAGTGGAATCCACGACATGCGAGTGTGGAGAAGAGCAAACCACTGACCACCTGCTGCAATGCACCCTGAGCCCTGCCACATGCACAATGGAGGACCTTCTTGCAGCAACACCAGAAGCACTCCAAGTGGCCAGCTCTGGTCAAAGGACATTTAATAGCATGCAAGCTTGAAAACTTTGTGCTTTGTTTGTTTGTTAAAAAACACAATACAACTGTTTGGTTTGCTCCTGACACGATAAATAAATAAATACATTCTTTACCCCACAAAACTTAAAACAGTAACTTAAAAAATGTAAATGAAGACAGGTAAAAGCCCTGACAAAGTCAAAAGGAAACAAATATAAAATGATATTCTTAAAATGCAATAAAATTATCCATGGAAACAAAACAATTTAAAGCAAACTCATTAAAATAAAAACGAGAAATGAACAAGCAGCACAAGCTTGAAGACTATTCCTAAACGCCGCTTGGAACAGAAAAGCTTTCTCTTGCTCTCTTACAAAGGGAAACAGGCCATACTAGTCTCCCGAGAGAGTGAGTTCTAATGTCCAATTGAGAAGGCAAAATCCTTTATACGCACAGGACCAATCTGGCTATTAACACTCCAGCAGACATCACCAAGGGATCTAGTTGACAACAGAGCTTTCGGAATTTGGAATTAGCAAGAACTTCAATGGGAACGGAAAAAGTCCTGCTGGGATGGAAGAGTGAATGCCAGGGCCTGGTTTAAAAGACAACCATTATTTAAAAGACTCAAAGGCTGGCAGTGGCGGAAGAAGTAATACTGTAACTGCAGAAGTTTAGCTAAGGAGATGCATCCAGGAATCCCAGGAGGAGGATGTGATGGTAATATCTCTCACCTGCTAGTTACCTTCAATATAGAGTCAGGACACAACACTGTCTTGAAACATGGAGGATCCATATCATCATGTGCATTAATATCAATTTAGAGGTCTCTGGAAATAACTATTTCAAAACCTCATAGCTCCCTAACCAGTGTCCCTAACTTGTTAGGACAATCTGGAAATCGTAGTTACCTAACTTTTCAAAGAAATAGTCTTGTTACTCCACAGAAGCAGGGAAGGGTCTGTATCAACATACACATCTCTTTTAAAGGTCTGTGTGCTGCTAATTCTACCCAACAAGTGTTTTAATTCTATTCGTATTCCTTTAGAATCACTCCATCAGTGAAGCTATGGAATTGGACTGCTTTCCAAAATGGCTCGTGCTAAAATATACATCAATTAATCTGAAAGTTACAAATGGTGGCTTAAAATACATTTATTTATTTTATTTATTTCCTATATTTATACCCCGCTCTTCTTCCCCCGAAGGGGGACTCAGGGCGGCCTAACAAAAGCATCATACGATGCTAGCATCGTAAAAAGAACCACAACCGTGTTTGCAATAGTGGTGGGATCAAGAGCAGGGTCTCTCCTGAAGATCTTAAACTTCATGGTGGTTCGTGGCAGGAAATACGTTCGGAAAATTTCCAATGAATGAATGAAAATACTGGGAGCCAAATCCAAAATTAACGGAAAAAAGAGAATTATAGAGAGTCAAAAACGAGAAAACTCAGGTAGGCATTATTGCACTGGATACATACAAAGCCTTTGCCTCAGTGGGTTGGACAATGTTGAAATCCCTGATTTAAAAAATACGGTTTTGGAGAGGGTTTCCAACATATAATAAAATAAATACACTCAGAAAACAGGGCTAAAGTCATAATTAATTTCTGTTAGGTAAAACTAATTATTTGCATGTATACATCCTAAAAAAGAATGGATCTCAGTGATTCATTGAGATGGAAAAATATGTAGTATTAGTTTCTATGTAAAAAGAAAGACAAATTTAGAATTATATTTTTTTTTAAAGGAGAAGACAGAGTTAGTATTTGTTGTTCATTCGTTTAGTCGCTTCTGATTCTTCGTGACCACATGGAGCAGCCCACACCAGAGCTCCCTGTTGGCCATCACCACCCCAAGAGTTAGTATACTAACAAAGTAACATCTCACTGCTGTTTATTGAATTCCATCAGGGGGAGGGGGACTGGAAATCATCTATCGGACAGATAGTAAGCTATTTAACCTCAGCAGACAGAAAGCCAAAACCAAGGTCACAACAACATCTGTTATAGAACTTCAATATGCCAATGATAACGTAGTCTATGCATATTCAGATGAAGACCTACAAGCCACTCTAAACACCTTTGCAGAAGCATACGAGAAGCTTGGCCTCTCATTGAGAAAACCAACGTGTTCTTCCAGCAGTCACCAACCAATCCCCCTGCAATGCCAGAAATACGGCTTAATGGTGCAACATTAGAAAATGCCGACCATTTCCGCTACCTTGGCAGCCACCTCTCCACCAAAGTCAACACTGATAACACTGCCTGAGCTCTGCAAGTGAAGCATTCTTCTGAATGAAGCAGAGAGTGTTTGAGGACCAGGACGTCTGTAGAGAGACTAAGGCGCTTGTTTATAAACCCATTGTCCTCCCAACACTGTTATATGCCTGTGAAACATGGACTGTGTACAGATGTCACATGTAACTCCTAGAACGATTCCATCAGCGTTACTTCCAAAAAATCCTGCAAATCTCTTGGGAAGATAGGCAGACAAATGTCAGCGTGCTAGAAAAAGCAGACCACCAGCACTGAAGCTGCCAATACACTACCAATTCCATTGGAATCTTACGCTACCAATTCCATTGGACTAGCCATGTTGTCCGAATGTTCAAAGATCATCATCTCCCAATGCAGTTACTCAACTCCCAATTCAAGAATAGAAAACAGAATGTTGGAGGACAGGAAAAGAGATTTAAAGATGGGCTCAAAGCCAACCTTAAAAATTGTGGCATAGACATAAGAGAACTGGGAAGCTCTGGCCCATGAGCACTCTAGCTAGAGGTCAGCTATGACCAACAGTGCTGCAGAATTGGAAGAGGCCCGAATGGAGGACGAAAGGGTTAAACATGCCAAGAGGAAGGTGTGTCCCGGTCGGGGTTGGCTTGACGTGCCTTCCTCTTGGCACGTTTCTCTCTTTCGCCCTCCATTTGTGCCTCTTCAAATTCTACAGCACTGCTGGTCACAGATGACCTCCAGCTGGAGCACTCAAGGGCCAGGATTTCCCAGTTCTCGGTGTCTATGCCAGAGCCCATCTTTAAATCTCTTTTCCTGTCCACCAACATTCCGTTTTCCATTCTTGAGTTCGGAGGAGAGCAAATGATTTGGGAGAAGGTGATTGGGCAATTGGACAACGTGGCTGGTGCAGCAGAATTGAAGGCGGAGGACCATTGCTTCAGTGTTGGTGGTCTTTGCTTTTTCCACCATGCTGACATTTGTCTGCGTGTCTTCCCAAGAGATTTGCATGATTTTTCGGAGGCAACGCTAATGGAGTCAACAAGTTAAACATGAGCCAACAATGTGATGTGGCAGCAAAAAAAGCCAATGGGATTTTGGCCTGCATCAAGAGGGGCATAGTGTCCAGATCTAGGGAAGTAATGCTCCCCGTGCTCTATTCCGCTTTGGTTAGACCACACCTGGAATATTGTGTCCAGTTCTGGGCACCACAATTCAAGAGAGATATTGACAAGCTGGAATGTGTCCAGAGGAGGGCGACTAAAATGATCAAGGGTCTGGAGAACAAGCCCTATGAGGAGCGGCTTAGGAGCTGGGCATGTTTAGCCTGAAGAAGAGAAGGCTGAGAGGAGATATGATAGCCATGTATAATATGTGAGAGGAAGCCACAGGGAGGATGAGCAGTGGAACTCTCTGCCCCGGAGTGTGGTGGAGGCTCCTTCTTTGGAAGCTTTTAAACAGAGGCTGGATGGCCATCTGTCAGGGGTGATTTGAATGCAATATTCCTGCTTCTTGGCAGAATGGGGTTGGACTGGATGGCCCAGGAGGTCTCTTCCAACTCTTTGATTCTATGAAGCCACAGGGAGGAGGGAGCAAGCTTGTTTTCTGCTTCCCTGGAGACTAGGACGCAGGAACAATGGCTTCAAACTACAAGAGAGGAGATTCCATCTGAACATGAGGAAGAACTTCCTGACTGTGAGAGCCGTTCAGCAGTGGAACTCTCTGCCCCGGAGTGTGTTGGAGGCTCCTTCTTTGGAAGCTTTTAAACAGAGGCTGGATGGCCATCTGTCAGGGGTGATTTGAATGCAATATTCCTGCTTCTTGGCAGAATGGGGTTGGACTGGATGGCCCAGGAGGTCTCTTCCAATTCTATGATTCCATGACCAATGAAAGAGTCCCTAAGCTTTGATTCCACACCGTTTGCCTTCTAGCTGTTTTGGACTCCAACTCCCAGAATTCCTTGCCATTAGCTGATACAGCAAGAGCTTCTGGGAGTTGAAGTCCCAAACCCCTGGATGGCCAAATCTCCCTCCTTTAAGCTTGAAAGATGAACCCAATTGCCTCATTGTTGGCTATGAAGGCGTGGAGAAGCAGAAGGAATAGATTATTAATGGTATTATCATTATTTAGCAGGCTGTATTGACTCAAGGCCTCACCTCAGGGTCTCCGATGCGCCTCCTCGCCGACATCCTGCCCAACTGACAGCCTCTCAGCCTCTCTGCGCGTCTCCACCAATCAGAGCATCCCTAGCCCACACCGCCGTCGCCATTGGTCGCCCTATCTGCGCGCCTCCACCAATCAGAGCCGCCCTAGCCTGGTCAGGCGTCCTTATTGGTCGCCCTCTCAGCCAAGCCGCTTCCGCGCGCGCTCTCTCCCTCTTAAAAAGAACTGAGCCGGACCTACTGCGCCTGCGCACTCCGCTTTCTCCCTTTCATGAGCGGGGCGTGTCACTGGTTGCCCGGGGCAACGCGGGACGCCTCCGCTTAGCGGTCAAGCCAAGGCTTTGAAGCGACGGTTGTGACGTCAAGGCATTGTGCGCATGCGTTAGCATTGTTGTCCTTGCGCGGCCTGGTCAATAAAATAGTCCCTGGCTTGGTTTTTTTATTTACATTTAAAAGACATCTCAATTTAAATATCTTATTATTATTATTATTATTATTATTATTATTATTTACATTTAAAGTTATTTTAATCTAAACGTATTTATATTAATTATTATTTATTTGCATTTTTAAATGGTTTAAATTGTATTTATATTATTTATTTATTAATTATTTAAATGTAATAAAAAGTAATAAATATAAATACAATTTAAACCATTTTAAAATGGTTTAAATTGTATTTATATTATTATTTATTTGCCCATTAAAATGGTTTAAATTGTATTTATATTATTATTTATTTGCCCATTAAAATGGTTTAAATTGTATTTATATCTATTATTATTTATTACATTAAAATTTTATTTAAATAGGAATTGTACTTATATTACATTTATTATGTATATAATAGTCCCTGGCTTTATTTTTTATTTACATTTTAAAATCATCTCAATTTAAATATATTATTATTATTATTATTATTAAGTGTATAATATCACAAAGGACGACCGTCTCACCCGCCTCATAGGAAACCTGCTACAAAACAGGAGCTTTTTTGTTGAGTTCCAGGGCCAGAGAAGCAGATGGCGGAAACAGAAGAACGGCCTGCCTCAGGGAAGCGTGCTTGCTCCATCCATGTTCAACATCTACACAAATGACCAGCCACTGCCAGAAGGGACAGAGAGTTTCATCTATGCTGATGATCGTGCCATCACCCTCAGCAAGCAAGAGTCCAAAAGTGGCAGGCTCAAACCCAGAACCTCAACCAATGGCTGATACCAAATGAGAGACTCCCCTGGGCACACAGAAGATTGGGCGACTTGGAAGGCGCTGAACAGACTGCGCTCTGGCACCACGAGATGCAGAGCCAACCTCGAGAAATGGGGCCACAAAGTGGAGTCCACGACATGCGAGTGTGGAGAGGAGCAAAATACAGACCACCTGCTGCAATGCACCCTGAGCCCTGCCACAGGCACAATGGAGGACCTCCTTGGGGCAACACCAGAGGCACTCCAAGTGGCCAGATACTGATCAAAGGACATTTAATCAACTACCAAACTCACAAATTTTGTATTCTGTATTTTGTATTTTTGTATTTTGTCTGTTTGTTTGCTTTGTTCTGTTAGAAATGTAATATAACTGATTGGTTGCTGATGACTCAATAAATAAAACCGCCCAGGCAGGGAGCTATGAGATGGTAGAACAGAAGCTCTCCGAAGCTCTTACTGCCCACTACAGGGAAAACCAGCTGATCCCTAATCGATCTAAAACACAGACAAGTGCTTTTCATCACAAGAACAGAGAAGCATCCCGAGCTCTGAGGATTATTACCTGGGAAGGAATCCCACTGGAAAATTGCAGCGCACCCAAATCCCTGGGAGTCACTCTGGACCGTGCTCTGACCTACAAGAAGCACTGCCTGAACATCAAGCAAAAAGTGCGTGCTAGAAACAATATCATACGAAAGCTGACTGGCACAACCTGGGGATCACAACCAGACACAGTGAAGACATCTGCCCTTGCGCTATGCTACTCTGCTGCTGAATATGTATGCCCAATGTGGAACGCATCTCACCACGCTAGAACAGCTCCAAGTGGCCAGATACTGGTCAAAGGACATTTAATCAACTACCAAGCTTGCAAACTCTGTGTCCTTTGAATGTTTGTTTTTTTGTTCTGTTAAAAAATGTAATACAACTGTTCGGTTGCCTGACACGGTAAATAAATTATTATTATTATTTAAAGTGATTTTAATTTAAATGTATTTATATTAATTATTATTTATTTGCATTTTTAAATGGTTGAAATTGTATTTATATCTATTATTATTTATTACATTTAAAATTATTTAAATTGAAATTGTATTTATGTTACATTTATTATAATTATATTATATCAAGTAAGAACTGTATTACAGTCCACGGACCCACAACTGTTAAATAAATAATTAATAAGCATATAGTAATAATAATCAAACAAAACATAGCATTATGCTATCTCTCTCTCTCTATATATATATATATATACAAACACACATAATGTGATAATATTTTTTTGGGGTAAAGATGGCTTTTGAGAAAGGACGACCACCATGTCTGACTGCACAGAGAAGCCATTGAAATCCATGTGGGCAATTTCAACAACATCTGGCTACCAGTATTAAAAACTCTAAAATCAGGACAGTAAAAAAAGAGGAACATGAAAAAGACAGGGGAAATCCAGACAAGAAACAATCAGGGCCAGCTAACATGTCCCAACAAAGGATTCCCCCAGGCAGGAAGCAGCCAGGCCTTGCAGCTGCAAGGCCATTTGATGCCGTTGAGAGAGCTCATCCGGAGTTCTGGATTACGATGTCATCTGCATACAGCATTTTTCTGAATGAAACAGAAAGTGTTTGAGAACTGGGACATCCGTAGGGAGACCAAGGTGCTTGTTTATAAAGCTATTGTCCTGCCAACCCTGCTACACGCTTGTCAGACGTGGACTGTCTACAGATGTCACATACAACTCCTAGAACGATTCCATCAGTGTTGCCTCTGAAAAATCCTGCATATCCCTTGGGAAGACAAGCGTACAAATGTCAGTGTGCTGGAAGAAGCAAAGACCACCAGCATTGAAGTGATGGTCCTCCGCCATCAACTCCACTGGACCGGCCACGTTGTCCGGATGCCCGACCACCGTCTCCCAAAGCAGTTGCTCTACTCCGAACTCAAGAACGGAAAACAGAATGTTGGTGGACAGGAAAAGAGATTCAAACTCTTAAAAACTCTGGCATAGACACTGAGAACTGGGAAGCCCTGGCCCTTGAGCGCTTCAGTTGGAGGTCAGCTATGACCAGCAGTGCTGCAGAATTTGAAGGGGCATGAATGGAGGCCAAAAGAGAGAAACGTACCAAGAGGAAGGC